AATTCTCCCAATTTGAATTTCTCCCTCGACAAGGTGGAGTTTTTTTAATTTTTTTATTTTATTGTGAATCGCGTATAAGAGACTGAAGATTAAAAATCGTAATGCGCGATTTGTGTCGGTAAGAATATTAAACACAAGGCCGCGACAAAGATCGGCCTCTCGTGTCTCGTGGGAGGAGGGAGAGGGAACGACTCTTGAAATGTGGTGTGCGAAGCAACCAGGTGAAAGGAATACGCGTGAGGCAATCGATCTCTGAAGGCACAACAAGTGTTAATGTCATCCTCTCTCGCCCCCTACATTGCGATACACGCCCTTTGTCGCGGGAATATCGAGGCGGATTGTGGAAAAACACAATATTCTCGATTGTAAAAACGCGATGATTAACGAGTCGAAAGTGCCGCGTTGAACGTGCAGAACCAAGGCGTTTTGCATTTTCGTTAGACAATAATTTACACACACGTGATTTCGAAAGCTGTGTATGCTTGTTTTTCCTCCCCGCTCAACCACGCCTTTGCCGACGAACCGACACGCTGTGTGCAAATGCGCGCAACCGATAAAAAGATATTGCGTTTTAATGAGGTGCGCACACCTGAGCTGCTAAAATTAGCACCTGCTCCTGACCTGGGTTTCGCCGATCGTTTCGCCGTCATCGCAATTTGCGACGAATCGAATTCCGACGATCGATCGTCGCCGATAAGAAGAGACGAGACGCGTCCCTCTCCTTCCGAGGACGGTCGCGCGCGAAATTTTTGTGCTTCCTCGCTGTGGTACGTGGAAACACAATCGATGAGATAAGAGCGTTATCCGTTCGGGGTATTTTCGCGATAAGGCGAAAGCGCGTCAACACACACGGGACAATAGAGGTAGTCGAGCGTAAAAATAGATAACGTTACGGGACAAAAAGATAAACAGGCAGAAAAATACGGAGAGAATATTATCTCGAGCTACACGTGTGCGCGATCTTCGACTCCCGATTACGTGCGTTCTCGCGTATATATTGAGCCGACACGTGCGACGCGCATTTGTTTTTTTTTCTCATGGAAAATAGCGCGCAAAAGTGACGACTCTTTCTCTTTCTCTCTCTCTCTCTCTTTCCTTTCTTCGACGATTGTGCAATCGGGTTGTTTTATTTGCACGAGCGTCTCATTGTTACGTAAAAAAAAGAACAAAAAGAGCCTAACGCGGAAATGTAAAAATAACTCTGTTTTTTTTCTCCGCTTACGCAAACGAATCATTATTTGCGGAATATGGATTTGCCTTCTCACATACATACACACACACACACACACACACACATAAGACACGTGAACGATTCGCACGCTGGTTGCGATTCAACGCGCGAACTGATATGGAGAAGTATTTTGTCGCCACATTCGCTTCCCATAGCGCGCGTGCACACATCGTTCGATCGAAGATAAAAAAAAAAAGTGTGTACGAGCAAACGACGCGTATAAACTCGATAATGCGGATACTTTAGCGTTAAATGATTTAGTGCGATACTGTCGGATTTTTGTACATTCTTAACTATCTTTTTCCTCCATTGTGTTTTTCTCTGTAAATTGTGCGCAACAATATTTGCAAAGTGGCACGTGTAGATTTTAAATCTGTTCTACGTCAAAATACATCGCACATGACAAAGTAAAAGCGAGCAAACGCGAACAAAAGGACGCTTGATTTCTTAATGGAAAGTTTTCTCTCTCTCTTATCACGAGATCGCGACTTTTAACTTGTCCGTAAATCCAAACAGACTCAATCCGGACTTCGTCGAAACCGATCGCCAAAATAACACATTTCCGACACAAATTATGCAAGACGGAACCGATTTTACATCCATTCCATCTATTTAAAAAAAAAAAAATAAAATAAAATAAAAACAGTTTCTCCCGAGTCCGCCGGCAAAACGAGGGTTAAATGTCAACTTCAGGTTTCTCGCAGATAGAAGACATTCTCGGGAACTTTCGCAATTCCGCGGGTGTGCACGTGTGTGTGTGTGTGTGTGTGTCTATATCACCGGGGCGCCGCTTTCGAACGCGGAATGCAAATCCGTAATAAAACCGCTTGAGTCCGGTATAGCGCCGGCTTCGATACTTTAAACGTGCCACGTGTCGATATACTTGCGCGCACCTTACGCGAATTAAGACGCGTGCACATACACCTGACGAACGAACTTGAACGACCGCGTGCGTGTACACGCACGCGAATAAGTTTTATGAATTTTTTATGCGGATTAGAAAAAAAAAAAAAACTAAAACGATTTTTCCCCTTCCCGTCACGTGTGATGTAACGTGTGATTATTTAAGTATGCAGATAAACTTTATCTGGAGTCGAAAATTGCAGTGCGACATAACAACGGGAAACGTCGAGACCGTGTAAGCGAATATAAAGTCACTGGTGGGCGGATGACTGAGCGGATCATAAAAAAAAAATTCTTTGGGACAATCTCCGCTTCGGGGAGGGATCGCGCGCGCGCGCGCGCGCGTCAACGCTCGTTACGTAACGATATTCGAATTACAAATAACTGGAACAATATGCGTGTGAATTGACGGAAAAACTAAAGATTTCAAATTGTCGAAGATCTTTTCTGTTTTAGATTACAAACATCGCACAACATACTTTCTCTTTTGTAAATTAATTTGTAACTTGATGCTCGGTAACGAGAGATCGTTAATTGAGAGCGAAACGCGGCAATTTAAGTATTTAAAATGCGAAGCGCTGAAGACCGGCCTAATCGAAAGTACAATCGACGTGCCTGGGCGAAAGTGCCCACTTTGGCGCGTATGTAAACGACGCGCGACTACGCGCGAATGAGAGAGAGCCGGTCTCTTCTCCGACGCACGCGTGCACGCATTAAAACGAAAAACAAAAAAAACGCACGGAGTCGTCACATAGTGCGGAGAAATTGTCACTTCGTTTCAGCGGATGCGACAAACCGGTACGCGCGATACATAAATCCGTGCGCGACGAATCAAAAAGATGTCGAAGAGAAATTCCGAAGATCGGAGTCGCGATAGAATTTAAAACAAAAAAAACGAATAGAATTTAAAAACCGGATGCTCAACCGATTTTCTTTGCGTGTCAAAGAGACACACGCGATATTTATATCGCACACACGTGTCACAACATCCTGAGTGTGTATCGCGACTAAAATTGGTTTCTCGCGCGAATAAAAAAAATCAAAGACTCGCGACTATAAAGCAACACGACTCGTTTAAAGTGCTTGCTAGAGCTTTTTTGTTATCAAATGCAAGTCGCGTGCGCGCGCGCGCGATGTCACGGTTTGTATAAATAAATTTTCCGCGTTTCAACTGCGTTTTTATGTATGTATGTGTGTGTGTGTGTGTCAAACGACGAAAAAACGTTGTCGTCGTGTTGCACACGCAGCACCAAGTGCGTTGCGACATGTGTTGAAAAAAAAAAATGTTTGTTCGACGCGTTTGTCTCGGGAGCGCGCCCGAGAGACGGGAGAAAAAAAAAACAGTAAATGAAAAAAAGAAAAAAAGCCCAAAAACACAGAAATGCCGTTATTATATCGAACCAACCTGTCACTTTTGTCGACGACCTTGAGCGGCGCGAGTTCCTGAAGAGGCGGCTCCGCCGAGATGCCCTGGGCGCGACCGCGCGTCCGCGGTTTCGTCGGCGTGAGCGGCGGCGCCGGGCTGAACGGCAACACGCTCAGGAACTTGTCCAGGTGGCTGCGCAGCTCCTGAATCTCGGCGTCGCGGCAACAGAGAGCCGTCTCGAGCTCGGTGATTCTCTCCTCCTTGGCGCGCAGAAGTTCTTGAAGCTCCCTCAGAGTACCCATCGCGTTGACAGTTCCTCCGCCGATGTGCGGTGGCACCTGCTGCGTGACCTGCGTGGTGGTCGCGGTTGTGTTGCTTACGGCGACGCCGCGCGTCGGTAGCTGCGGCGATGACGATCCGGCCGCTTCTGGGGTAGCGACGTCCTCCTCGTCCGGAGGCCGCTGTTGCGGCGACGAGAAGCACAGCGAGTCGAAGCACACACGCATAGACACGCAGGCGTCGCCGATAGGCACTCGATATTTCGTACCCTGGTCCATTCAACTCGCCGTGATGGTGCTCGTGAGAAGAGATGGACTCATATGCAGCTGGTGCGCGGAGCAACGCGACCGGGTACTTAGACAAGGACGTCGTCGGGTTGTTACTATCGTTCGTGGATCAGCTCCCGTGATCGCGCTCTCGAAGAGCGACGGACCGACGTCTTCCACCGCTGCGCTGACGTTAGCTGACGTTCCGCACCAATGTCAATCGAACCGTCCCGGTCCCGAGCAAGACGGAACAAACGTCAGATGAACTGTACTGACCGAGAATGAGAGAGATGTGACGACTACGAGGTTGGGCAAAGGAAGGGATGCACGAGAGGGAGAACTGAGCGGGACGAGAGGTACGGTATCAGAGCGCGCAGCGACGTCGCCGGAAAAACCCGAAGTTCCCGAAGGACTGTGTCGAGCTCAAGATGGCGGCCATTTCGTAGCAGTCACGTGGCCTCGCTTGGCGCGCTAGTGGCCACACAACCTGTACAAATCGTTATATAAAAATGTTATTACCAATAAAAAAAAAAATTTTTTTTGTTATACTCTTAAAGCCGAAGAACAAGTGTTTTAAAAGAAACATAGTCTCAGTTTTGCGAGTAAGATTATGCTACGTAGTATATCGTCTCCGTTTGTTTTTCTTTGCATAAACAGAACGCCTCGCGTTTCTTCCGTACGAATAAATAGTAACCAAATTTATTTATCCTTATAATACATGATAATTACACATTTTATATATACATGTAGTATATATTATATAAACTATACATATGCCATATATATTAATATACATTAATATATATATTAATATATATTTTAGTAATTATATATAAAACTATGTTATATATATGCATATATTACATATCACAACTATTTTTGCAAAAAAAAAAAAAAAAACAAAACGCGTTTATTGTATATCATTTTTGCGCGTACTTATATATATATATATATATACAGGTAGAATATATGTACACGTTTATAAATAAGAAAAAAAATATTATTGATTTCAATTTAATTTATACTATTACGTTTTGTCATTGAGGAAGAAGAGGTTCGCTCTTCGTTCTTAACACAGTTTTCGGGCTGTTCTCGAGCTGTTCGACGCACTGTATCTTCTCGCTCTTCTCCTCCGACTGCAGAAACGCCTCGTTCAGGCAGACGTTGTTCAGGCTGACGGCACTGTTCGAGAAAATGGCCGTGCTGAGATTGGGGTTCTTTATGTCGACGCTGTTAGCGCGATTATGCTGGAACAACTTCGAGCGCTTCTCGCGCTGCTCGTGCGACGACATTATGTCGCACGCCTTGCCAAGAATGATCAGACTGTTCAATATGCGAAGAGCCACCAGTATAAAATAAGCAAACAGTAGAAGTATGAAGTTAGCGGGTCTCGCGGACGGTGTCAGAGTTGTACAAAGAACGCGGGCCATTGCGACCCCCAGTGGAAGGGGTATAAAACCCATTCGCCGCGCGACCAGATCCGACGGATCTGAGAACGCGGTTTCTCGACGGCTTTGCGCCATATCGTACGCCAGACTCACGGTGTAATCCCGGTAGACGGTTGAAGGCAGCTCGTTGAAACGCGTGATGAACGCGTGTTTCACCTTCGCAATAATACGATATTATTGGCGATAATTATATGATAAATATATATAAAATATATTTGAATACTAAAAGTGAGGACCAACCCAATCAACGAGAACTTCCGCTAACAATAGCATCACGCAGTCCGGTAACAGAACAGCAAAACGATCGCTGTGCCACGCGTACTCTTTCATTGTTTGCAGACTCACTGCGAGAAGCAGCATGGTCAGGTGAAACCTCTCTCTGACGTCGGCGCAAGATAATTGGAATAAGTTGTTCTTGTCGAATTTCTTGAAGACGGAACCTTTTAGTTCCACAAACTGAAAACAGTTTATATTAAACACATCCTGACGTAAAAAAAAAAGATTGCTTCACTTTTTATGATACACTTACGTTGTTAGACATCATAATCGTGAGAAGAGCCTTATTGCTGCTGTTGATCGCTACGTTCAACGTCGTAGCTTGGAACAACACCAATATACTGTGTAATACTACGAAATTGCAGTCAAGGACATATTTTCTTACCGCTTAAATGTGCGTTGATCGTATCTGAATACTATCTTATTTAAAGGATACACACATAAGTGAAAGCAAATAAAAGATGCGGTAAAGTACCCAAATGTTTGGTACGATTAGAGCTCGAGCGTGAACGCGGCTCGGTAGCGGTCCACAGCAGAGCGTCTATTGTATCTTGACCGAAGGCACTGAAGAGACGATCTCCCACCTCTAACATATTATAAAATATATATAGTTTTATAACAGACTGACTCTTAACTAAATGGTACATCATAGAAGTGTCCACTTTCCAGGTTGCGGCCCAGCAACCCACCACCACAACTCCTTTCAACAAATCACACACTTCAGCTGGGCTTAAATACCTTTCCTTACGTTTTGCATGAACTTTTCCACCTCTGCAAATAAAGAAAAAAGTTCTTTTTTAGAAAACACAATCAATTTTTTAATTGTTTAATTAATAAATAAATATACAAAATTTTATATATTTATACAAATGTAATATTTATTACACAAATTTATTGGAACATATATGACTATTTTTAAAATTTAAATAAAAAAAAGAAATATATTTAAAGATGAAATAAATTAACTGAATTAAATGTCTTATCTACCTTAAACAATGTCGTAAAGGTCTTGTTATCACCGCCCATAGCGCCATTGCAAATCTCAAGGGTAAAAATGTGTAGACAAAGAGAAAAGAATCTGCACACTATAAAAAAAAAAACATATATAAATAGATCATTATAAAAATAATTTTCTGTTATTTTGATCCCTTTGTACAACAACCTGATAATCACCTGAAGAAAGCCATAAGTCATGAATCTTTCTACTTCCCTGGGAATTTTTATGAATGAGTAAACTTTCTCTCTTCTAGCAGAAAATCTCTCCTCGTCATGTTCCAGCTGATAGCCCCTTGTTAATTCCGTCCGTAAAAATTGCATCAAGGATACACCTGGAAAACATCACGTATGTTGTGTTTATTGCGAATGTGTGTGTGTGTGTGATTAATGTCACCTTATCATTTACCCACTTAAAAACACACTTTATCGTGTGTCACAAACAATACGATTGCTTTGTGTGTTGTTCCTCAACGGTCACGCATATGTGTGTACGCACCTTGTTTCTTTCCTTCTTCCTCTTCCTGACCGTTCGACAATCCCGATCGGTAGTGAGAAAGATCAACACTCTCCACCCGTCTGTCGGCGGGTGACACATGAGTCTTCGGTCCGCGAAATCTGATGGTCCTCTTCTCCGGCAAGCTTTGATCCATATTTCCGTCGTTGGCCTGCATCGTTTCTGCTTGTTTTTCCGCGGCGTGCATTCGCGGCACTGCGCTCGGTCATTCTACGAAGTCTGTAATTTTCCTAGCCATAACCAATCCTCGCGTGTCATGCAAACGCTGAACTTTGATGTCGCGCGCACACACCTCGCCGGAACAGATAGACCGTCATAATAACAACATTGTCGCGAATAATGCCAGGCGTGTTCTCGCGAATAACAATAATCAATTAATAAAATTTTAGTTTTTATCAAACGCGCGCACGAGAATATGCGAACAATTGATTCTCACGACGATGATGATGATCCGTCCGTCAGGGGTGTATTTTTATCATGATGATGTCAATCCGATGTTCACACGGTTCCGTCAAAAGTACGTAAAATTTTCCTATCGCACGACACCTCACGTTATTTCGCAGGGTAATAGACTGGCACACAGCTGTGTGTATCCTCAATGTATACATAAAATTCTGACGTTACGCGCAAATATTACGGACAGTCGATAATATTGTTGTCAGTCACCAATTATCGGCTAACGATAACAAAAATAAATTTTATGAATGCCTTATCTCAATCGCGACAAGATAAAAATATGTAAAATTACATTTTGCGTTAAATTATTCCAATTTTTATTGCTATTTATTTTAACTTTTTACTTAAACAAATTGTTTCTTCTCGTTTTTGGTAGTTAAAAAAAAAAAAAAATATTTAACCATGCAAGACTGTTGTTGTTATTGTAATTTTGCGTCACGCTTCCTTAGCTACGAATTCAGTTTCAATCAACAACAGTCCGAAGCGAAGCGATTTTGATGTAAAGTAGATTTCTGAATGATTTTCAGGAGAGAGAGAGAGGTTTATTAAAAAAAAAAAAAAAAAAAAAACTGTTAGAATATACAATATTTTTCACGATGAATACTCCAACGGCAAACAATGCTTTTTCTCTTGATAATACACTTAAAACTAACGATGTGGAGCAAGAGAAGAAGAACTCGTGGATTGACGCGAACTCCGTGGAAATACCGAATGTCCTGCATCCCGACGACTCGTTGATGAAAAAATTTCAAGATGCTCTGCGAGATCATCTCATTCGCATTGACAACAAATTGAACAGTGAAATATTAGATCTTGTGAGTATTCGCAATTCTTTTGTGTGTGTGTGTGGAGATTTAAAAAAAAAGATAATTTAAGAAAATGTAAAAAGATGTAAATTTCATCTTCACTAAACATTTTAGGAAATTAGAATAAAATCTGCTAGTAAAGATCGCGAGGAAACATGCCTGCAACTGTATTACGCTCAGCAAGATGTGGCCCAGCAGAAAACCGCGATAGAGAAATATCAGAGTATGATAGCGAATGTGATTTTGCTGCGCGAGGAGAAAGACTCGCACGTGAAGAAAGCCAAAGAGATTCATAAGACTGCTCATGCCAAATTAATTGACGAAAAGAAGAAGGAGGAAGATCTCAGACACGAGCTGGAACAGCTCACAGCTCTGCAGGCGCAATTCGCGGAGCTGCAGAAGGAACTCGAGAGTCACATAACTGTTTCCAAACGAATGTCGCAGAAGGACAGGGCGATACAGCGAGATCTGATCGCTCGGAAGGAGCAGAAGGACTTTGTCATATTCAAACTCATGGAGGAAGTTTGGGAGATCAAGACCGAGATAGCCAAGTTGGACGTGCAGCTGCAGCTGAAAAATAAAGAGAAAATTGAAATAGGCCAGACGATCGCGGATGTAAACGCCGATCTGGAGGCGTTGCACAAGCAGCACAAAAATCTGTGCACTGCCTGGAATTCCGTTGTGCTGAACATAACTAAGCGCAATAACGTTTACGAGCAATTAAATACAGAGCGTGAGTACGTAATATACGTCCGTTAATTTTTTCAGGACTTCGTCAAAGTGTCATGAGAAATAAATAAACATTATTGTACAATTTAGTTTAATCATCTGATCGTCATCACAGCGAAAAACCGACGTAATCTATTTCTTTTCAGAAAAATATGCGAATCTTTCAACACGTTGCACACGGAAATAGAGAAAGTAAAGAAAGAGACCGACAAGGAAACGGAAAATAACGAGCACCTGACTTCGTTGCACATGCGAATACAGGACAACATACAGACTAGTGCGAAATTGTTGGAGGTGGAAAACGACAAACTTGCTCATTTGCAGTCCGAATTAGTCAAGCTGTCGAAATTTAGCGAACAGGAGCAACGTGAATTTGATGTGGTCCAAGACGTATGTGAAGATATGATTCACACTTTGTGCTGATAATACAATGTATACACATCTTAACGTAACGTCTATTTAGGAATGGCAAAATCTGTTGAACGAAGAGGACGAGGTCGATAGAGAAGTGGCAAAACTTCTGAACAAGCAGAACGAGTTGGAGAACACGATATACAGCAAACTGGAAGAAAAGGTCACACACGACAAAACGGCTCGGTATCTGAATAAATTGTTATCGAATTCTAAAGAGAGGATACAAGAACAAGAACTGGCGTTGGTGGAAACGGAGAACTCCTATGGCAAACAGTTACTGGAATTGGAACAATTGAAGACGTACGTTTCTCACGAGAGGACGGAATTGGACGAACTTGTGCAAAGTAACGTTGCGAAAGAAAAGGAAATAGATGAAATTCAGAGAGAAATTAGAACTCACGATACCTTGATCGACAGGATGCAAGACAAACTCGTTAGATTGAATAAGAACATCGAAGAGGTGATGTATCGCGTTAGCTGCCGAAGCTCTGAAATTATTATAAATGGAAATTATTACACTATTGTTCGAAATTTCGTTTTAGATATTATCGCAAAGAGGCGGCGAGGACGTCAGTCCTCTCGACATGAAAATAAAATCCTTGGAAAAGACCATAGAAGAGACTCAGCAAAGCAATCAGAAAGCGCAGCAACTCTGGCTTCGCCAAGAGGGCCACATGATTACACTGAGCCAGCAAAGGGACTTGCAACTGCAGGAACTCAATCTTCTCAATAAGGAAATTTTGATCATGGAGCAAAAGAACTTGAAATTGGAGCACGCGTTGGAAGTGCTCGATAAGGAAGAGTCGAATATGGAGAGAGTGTTAAATCTACTGCAACAGAAATTGGTGCAGACAAACGCGCAACTGGTCGTGCAAAAGGAAATGAAGCAAGAGCTTGAAGGCAAAACTTCTATCACAAAAACCGAAGGGATGAAATCCCTGGAAGATGCTGAATTGAATTTGATAAAGATGCAAAATGATTTGAGGCAATCTCACGAGGAAAAGGCACTTTTGAAGAACAAGCTGGATGCGACGCAACAGGAAAGTTTGTCCTGGGAAAAGAAGGTAAATTTTCAAATGTTAACTTAATAAAAATTGTATACAAGAAAATGTGTTAACAGTAACATGCAAAAGTGTCACAGTTCTCAATGTCAAGCAAATTTAAAAGCATATTGTTTACAGTTGCAACTGATGCAAGAAACAGTGAAGAAGGTGAAGGACGAGCGCAGCAGCGGAGATATCGCGATGATGAAAAACGAAATTCACAAAATGGAAATGCGCCTGTCGCATTTGCGCAGAGTGCAGGAAAAGTTGATCCACGATATGGAGTTTTGCGTGACGCGACGGGAAATGATAGTGGACAGAGTTACGAGCAAACTTAAAAGAGATCCGAAGTGTCAACACAATCAGAAAGTTATATTCTGCAAACGTCTCGCCGATCAAAGACTGAAAATTAGACAGATCATAAAGGTAATTGCTATGAATTGTCTGATTGGAGAGGAAAAATCTTTCTTTCTTCTGAATCAAATTTTCCGCAATTAATCTACAGGAGACGAAGAAAATTGAGTACAGATTACCGGAGCTAGAAAGACAAGTAAAAGATGCATTAGAAAAATATGACGAGTTACGGGCAACGTTAAAAACGATAGAGGACGATATGCCAAACGTGGATCAGGAAATTGCGCAAACAGAAACTATCAAGTATCACGTATGTTTTTACATATTACTATTCCTTTGATTTTATTTTAAAAATTGTGTGTTTATTTTGGTCTAACAAGAAAAATCTCTTATCTATGAGCAGAATTTGCAAGCATTGGTTTTCAAGCAACGAAAGGTCAAAATGCTTCAAGATATCAAAAACGGTCGGTACAGGATGCTCTTCAAAAGCGAAACTTCGCTGAACGAGGAGTTTCAAAACGAGCAGATTCTTCGTGATTATTTGAAATACGTAATGGAACGGACAAGTCAAGATTTTCCTTTATTGAAGAATAACATTCAAAAAATACTATTGACATTAGAAACGCTATAAAAATTCCTAACGGATATTAAAAATAAATCAATTTATATATGTAATAACAATAACTGGAAGTGTATAATAAATGTATGTAATACGCTCATCGTACGGTATATAAAATTTATGCTGAATGCACACCTTTAATGAAAGACTCCATCGACGAAATAGGAGTGTCCGGTAAAATACCGTGTCCCAAATTAGCGATGTATCGATTCTTACCAAAATTCAACACCATTTTTTGTGCGCGAGTCACAATCTCGTCCTAAAAACATATGTAACACAAAAAACAAAACATATAATAAAAATATATTTTCGTATTTAAATTGTTTGAACTTAAAATTTATTTAGTTCATGTGTAACGCACCTGAGAAGAGTACATTGCGCAAGGATCCATGTTACCCTGCAACGTGACATTAGGTCCAAGTTGCTTCCTCGCTTCGGCAGGATCAACAGTCCAATCGAGACCTATGACTTCATAACTTTGATCCTTTGCAAGGATTTTTAAGGAATTCATAGTTGCACCTTTTGGAAAAGCAATCTGGAAACAGATTTAGTGTCTGCATAATATATAGCTGATTAACACAATTAAAAATAGTCATTCGAATAATCATAATTAACTTTACCATAGGAACTTCTGGAATATTTGCTTCCTTCAATTGTTTTCGCACACGTTCACTGATTTGTTTCAGATATTTGAAGGAATAATTTGTGAACAACGCATCATCTAAATAATCCCCATTGCTTTCAAATACTTGAAGTAACTTAAAAAAGAACATAACATTGTTTTTTACACAAGAAAATTATCTTTCTTTCTTATTTGAGTCATATCGTGTCTCCAATTGTACCTGAGCACCAGCCTGCACTTGCATCACCAAATAGTCCACAATAACATCAGTGATCATCTGTAATAATTTATGAGAATCTTCTGGATACTTGTACAGCCAAGATCTAGCTTTTGCCATTGTGGAGCTACCTCCTCCTTGAATCATATAACCCATCAGAGTCCACTGAAATAACAATTAACACTTAAATTGCATAACAAATAATATAAAAGAATTCAGACTATGAAGAAATTCTCACAGGTGCTCCAGTGAATCCTATTAGTGGTACTTTTCCATCCAGTTTGTGTCGAGTCAAAGTTATAGCATCCCCAACATACTTCAGAGCTTCCTCCACATTTGGTCGCACAAGCCTCGCCAAATCATTAGGATTAGCCAAAGGCTGTGGCAAAACTGGACCCTAATAGATACTTTCTCTTTATAGAAAATAGATGACAACATTGATGTAATTGAGTACCATACACATCAATATTCTTGCTACGTGTTATTGAAAGGAAATACTCACCACCCCTGCTACCATCTCAACCTTCAGGCCCATTGCCTGAGGGATAACTAAGATATCCGAGAATATTATACTGGCGTCCAGATCGAAACGTTCTATCGGCTGCAAGGTCACTTGGCACGCCAGTTCCGGGGTTTGGCAAACGGTGAAAAAGTCATGCTGAGCACGGACCTGCTGAAATTCGGGAAGGTATCTTCCCGCTTGTCTCATCACCCAAACCGGCACCCTGTCAACCGGTTCCCCGCGCGCAGCTTTGAGCACGCGATCGTTTCTCAAAGGTGGAAAATTGTGCTCGATCATGCTGTCGATTGCTCTGTTGGTCGTTACTTTGCGTCTTTCGAAAATTCGCGTTTGAATACGGTTTTCCACAATTTTTTGTTTTTCAAAACTCCTTATATTGCAGCGTAATTTTCCAATTACACTCATTCACAAACACGTACAATTTTGTGTACAGTATAATTTACTAATTTATACAAAAATATGCGCTGAGATTAGTTGGCAGTGTGATTTAATATTAGTATCAAAGTCAATTGTGTAAATGACTTGTTTGAAACAATACTGGATACAAAAGTACGTAGCATAAATGAGTAAAAAAAAGACCAACTTGATGAAATGAGAGCAGACGTATGATTACCGACGTATAGTGGTTTGAACAAATGCAATTGCTAATAGTTAGTCGGTAAGACGCTCGTGACGCTACTGACAGCGTGGAAGTGTCATCCCCTCTTGTGTCCTACGCGCCTCCGCGCCAATTCAATACAAATTCTCTTGTTATTCAGTTGTGTTGTGTGCGTACAGTGTGACTTGGCACATGTTCGGTAAAATATATACTTTGCGTAGCGACTTGTCTATTCCCGTATTTTGTTATTCCAAATTCGTGGAATTATATTTGTAACAGATTACTGCGCATAGAAATTGCGAAAAAAAAATGGATGACGTGAATATCAACGAAATATATTTGGAAGAAGTTGAGGTAGAAGTGAATGCTGACGGAGACAAGTGGATTCGACTGAATTGGAAAGAAAAGACAAGCGATAATGACAAAGGATCTCAGTCGACAGAAGAGGTAAACTTTAATAATCAGAAACTTACCGAAATAGCTGTTGACAATCTTTAAATTGTTTTTTATTTATTTCGATTTACATTCAGGAATCCAATACCGAGACCGTGGTAGAGGAGACAAAAGATAATGACATTAAAAAGCCGAGCACAGAAACGGAGGATGACGGTATATCTGTCATCTCGGAAAGTGACGAGGATAACAAAAACGAAAATGCTCTTCAAATTTGTTCTCCATCTAACAGCAGAACATCTCAAGTTTTGCAAATACTGAAATATAAATCAAATAATACTAAGGTGTTACAATAATTTGTTTTAGAGTTTTGATCTTTTATATCATTTATTTAAAAGAGTAATTTAGAGACGTTTTTTTTTTTATTTCTTTATGCATGTTTTCTGAATGAATATATATGGAATTTCAAATAAGATTTTTTTTATTATACAGACCAATGTTAGAAATATTATAACAGCGTTTGCAGTTGGAATTCTTTGTGGTTATGCACTTAGCTATATTGTTAGTGTGCCAATAGTTGGAAATGATTATGCAGATGCAATTGTAACATGTAAAAACGCAAGTGGTGACAATCTTAGCAAGAATGTAGAAGAAGGTAAGTTTGAATATTTGACAAAAGATCTGTAAAATGTTAATTTTAAGTTTCAATTGTTTTTTTTTTTTTTTTTCAGTAAAGACCACATTGGACAAAATCGAAGCGCGAATATTAAATAACGAAAAATTATTGACACAGCTGTCTCAGCTTAACAATTTCTCCAATCAAACAAATAAGAAGTTTGCAGAACTGTCCAGTACTGCAGAATATTTCAATGAGTCACATCCATTGGATGATTTCCATATATTTATGAACATATTATCATCGTTGACAATTATACATGACAATAATAATTCTTTGAAAAACGAAATGAATGAAACGTTGAACATTATAAACAATGTAAAGACTTTTTATGAAACACTGGTATTATTTGATAACGATACACAAAATATGGGTAATTCTACTGTTTTGAAGTAAGTACATTTTACAATATAGACACATTGTGTTTTCTTGAGTATATGTTTTCAATTATTGTATTATCATTTCAGAGTTTTACAAGACGATCGTGATAACATAGCCACTAAGTCCAAGTCGTTCCTGTCCAACATAAAAAAAACAATAAATAAGATAATGTCACATATCCATAAAAAATACATCAAGATAAGAAACAAATTGAACAAAAGAGTGTGCTATCTAAAAAATCAGTATCCCAATGATAAAGGTTTAAAATTGACTGAGAATAATCAGCTTTTTGATGATAAATACTGTTTTCCAAAAACATCGCGAAAGTTGAATGATGAAATAAATACCAAAGATGATAAAAAATATAAACAAAACAATAAGAGAAAAGAACATTACGATCAACAGGATAATTCTTTCAAAAAGAAGTTGTTACAAGATTTAGACAATTCTGCTACTCCGAAGAAAGTATATAGTTGTATAAAATATAAAGTGTAGTTCTCTTTTCGTTTTTTTTTACAATATGGCAACAATTGAAAAGCAAAATTATTTTGATCGAAATCGGTTCTGACTTTTATTTCATTCTTTTCCTTAAAAAAAAAAAAAAGAAATAACTCGGAATTGATTTCGAATAATATTACTGAATTCTAGATCTAGTCGAGAAAAATTAATGAGGCTTTGCAATGACATTAGATTTCTTATTTTTTCTAATTCGTGGAAAAACCAAAAGACATTTTGAAAACGTCTAAAAGACAGTAGAAGATATTTTTAAGTCGTTTTTTAGAGACGTGTTGTCTGGATAATAACATCACTTAAATAATACACAAACAATATTAGCTACTAACATGTTAATCTAATAATTTAAATAACAATAACTTATTACTCAGCAATAGTTTTGTAATAAATAGCCTGATTTAAAATAATTATTTTACAGGATTGACGAAACTATTACAGATAAGATAGACCGCAAGTCCCAAATATTTTGTTCGCACTCGCAGTCAGCCAATTGTCCCGATTATAATGATAATATAGATAATATAGATACAGCCAATTGTCCCGATTATAATGATAATATAGATAATATAGATACAGCTAACAGTGCATCAAAAAATGTAAATCTTTTAAGCAACAATGTTGATTTTTTTAAATAGATTTTCTGATTAATAGGAAGTACTCATAGATTATGCGATATATTCCAGAAGTTTCAAAACTTGTGTAAATTTCTTTTAGCACAAAACTGAGAGTTTTTTCGTTATCAAAAACAAATATGATACAAGTACAAAACCCGTGAAGCATAGAAATTCAAAGGATCAGTTTGCAGAAGAGAGAAGCAGACCAATGGAAAAAGATAATTTCAAGAGGGATGATTTTACTAAAAATGTCTTAAATCACAATAATGCAAGTACTGAAAGAAGAGATATACCTCCTCAAAAGAAGGTGGAAAACCATGAACCAAGGTTTGCCTATCACGTTTTTACATACTAAACGCACAAAGCGAGACAATCAGTAATTTTTATAAACTGGCAAAAAGACGATAAAAAAATTAACAAAAAAAAATACTAATATGATCTATAACGTTTAAAAACAAAATTTTATTTTCTTTAATAAAAAATTGCGTATTTTTCTTTAATAAAAATTTTGCGTATCAACAATTTGTTTTATACATTGAATATATTTTAAAATATAGTTCTTTTCGCAAATGACTCTTTTATGCATGCAGATCTCAAGAAGATAAGGAATCACAGTCTTCTCCTGAATATAAATGGGAGTTCTTAAATCGAGTAAAGTTACGTTTCGACAGAGGATGCCGACAGTGGAAGCTTGTAAGGCATCTTTATACGGATTATGAACGTTGCAATGATTTAATAACCTCTATTAAAAAAGTAGACAAATCAAATATATATTCGCAACACGATTCCACTGTGTGGTTCTTCAATGGATTCCGTTACCAGCTGTCTTGGCTAACATACAAATGCGGAATACAGAGGTAATCTTGAATTAATTTCTGTGTAATATTTAAAATCAAAATGTGTTATTTTCTTTGATAACAAAAACTATTTCAAGATTGTGTTTAGTTGTGTTTTAAAATCGTAAATGGGCCAATACGAGCCTTGAAAAACACTGTTGATCGTGTGTAGAATGTAGTTTATTCAAAAAGTAAATAACAACGTTTCGATTCTTCTTCGAATCATCATATATCCATAATACCTGTGTCGAAAAACAAGCAAATGAGAATTAAATTGAATTAAATTTTTATTAAATGAATTAAATACTTTTAAGTATAAACCTCTTTTTCTTTTATAAATGATGTCTTTTATTCAAGCAGGTCTGGAAGGCATGGTGAACATTTGACCGCAGATGTAGTATTTTTTGATATCGAGAAGGAAACTTGCCTTCACATGGCTGAGTCCATATTGAAGAAAGAAAGTATAAAAACGTATTCTAACGATTTCTATTCTAATTTACTTTCGATGACTCTGAATTCCGATTCTGATGAAAAGTACTGCATACAATGGGACTATATATCACAGGACAACACAAACGAAGCATGTGGACTTTATATGTTTAAGCCATAAATTCTACTATAAAACTCAAGTTTTTGTAAATAATGATTTATGATTCGTGCGAAATTTGTAAGTTGTAAAACGGGAAGATTTGTCGATTCGCGCATATCGCAAATCTCCGCGCTTTCCGTCGTACTATTCGCGAATTCCATAATAATAATTGCTGTCACCCAAAATACAGACACAGTCTGGCATCAGAGATCGGCGCCTTTGCCACGGATTTTAAAGTATTTCTCTCTCTCTCTCTTAAATATCCAAGTACGTATCTTAATATTTTCGCACCGTTTAGATGTTTATTTATATTTTGACATTATTTGCTGTTGCGATGTGAAAACATCTTATTCAGATTTGTGACGATATTGTAAATATTTAAAAAATATTGTAATAATTTGAAGATTTGTAAGAGAACAATATCACACAAGTCAGTTTGACATACCACCGTGGTATAAGAGATCGGTTTTTTGCAGCTTGTGAAACATAAAGTTAGATAATGCTTTAATAATTTTACGTTTATATTGTAATTTGTAGTATAACTTATGCATAGTATACTAGAGAGACGTAAAAAGGAAAACTTACGTCTATTTTTATTGAAAAGTATTATTTAACAACTAAACTTTCTTAGTTATTTATTAAATCGAATCTCAATAATTGTATTATTGATAAATGTTGTGTACGTATGTGTAGAATATCGTATTATAAAATTTGTACATCAAAGATGTAAAATTTCATATACTACTAATCTGTAATTCGGAGTTAAGTTTAGAGAATCTCTATTAGAAAATAAGTTCACACAAAATACCTCAATTTATACTAAAGAAGTTTTTATCGTGACAATGAAACTACGTGTTAAATGGTTGTCAATAATAAAAACAAAAACATTATTAGCAATTTCACTTTTTTTTTTCTGCAATTTCGACAATTTGCTGTTCGCGCGCGAAGACGCGCGTTCGCGCTCCTTGTTCTCTTTCGGAAATGCGAGAGAAAATCTATGTACAAAAGATACAACAAAGTGAATAAAATATACATTTTTACAACAAAGCGATTGTAATTCAAGAGAATGAAGAAAATAAAGTTTTTGTTTTGGCGCACGTGTACTCGCTTTTCGGAGAAAGAACAAAAAAAATAGGAGAATAACAAACATGTACAACACACACCATACACAAATCTCAACGTTGTTATTTCGTTTGAAGATCTAAGACGCATTGAAACGACTCGAACTGTGTTCGAGCTATGTAAATAAATAAATAAAGGAGGCAAAAGAATTATTACTTGTCCGAGTCCTCTGCTGCGTGACGCGTCTCCTGCGTGCATGCGTCGTGTTGACCGTCTGTCCGTCAAGGTGGAAAGAGAGAGATTACAATTCATTATCACGGATGTAAACAATGAGCGAGCTCGATCGCGATATGAATGAAACGGATTTATCCGGACGTTATGATACCAGGGTCGAGCGAGCCGAGCGAGCGGCCGAACGATCGCGAACGGGGGATTATCTCGCGATTCCGAGCGTTTTGGAGCAGCGGCGCGTTTGACATTGAATGATCGGAACAACAAAGGAGCACACGCGGGCGGCGCAAAAACCGCTTTGTTGTGGTTATTTTTACATCGGGGAATTTAATATACATACTTTTGCGTGCAACACTCTTAAAATAGAGCCGCGATCGCGGCGTGGCGTTGTATCTTCCGCGCTCTGCCAAAGAGCGAGGACCATGTGTTTTGAGGTTACCAGAATCCCGAGTGATTTCGGTTTGAGTCTCGAATATTCTCGTATAAATAATTGTTAAGATTTTTCGTTGCAATCCCCGAAAGAGAAAGAGAGAGAGAGAAGGAGAGACAAGAGAGTGAAAAAGGGACAGGGAGAAATGGACACTGCGTGCGAAATAGACGACATTCAGCAGTCGTTGATCAAGCGAATTTATTATCTGGCACGAGACGGAATGGGGATGGCACTTTACACTCTGCTGAGCGACAAATCCGAAACGGACGTGAATTATCTGATTAATCAGGTGAACCGATTGCGTCATTGTCTTATTTGCAAAAGTTACGTGATTATTTTGTCACTCGATTAGGTTAGAACATTCGACACGATTTTAAACTGAAATGTCGATTTCTCAAAATAGACACGATGATTTTACTGGTTTTTGGAAATTTTTCTTTTTTTTTTTTTATTAATATACATTTAATTAATCCGGAGCGTTGTTGCATTTTGCGTAAACACACACGCGCACACGCACAAAGATCTTCTGTACGTGAGCGGTTGACACAAAGAATAATTTCTAAATTTGGAATACACCAGGCTTCTTTGTCTTTAAAACCGAGAGTATGTCATAAATTTCTATCTTCGTCGCTCCAACCGCATATTTCGTTCTTAACTAAAATATCAGCTGCGATTATTTAAAATTTGAGAAAGTGTTATTTTTTTTCTTTTACGAAGATGTTTGGATTTGTATTTACAGAAAGTTCTTGAAGATAATGGACAAAGGTGTACGCCCTTGATAGTGGCTGCGCGTTACGGACACAACAAAGTGGTCAGAATGTTGCTCGACAAATTTAAACCTGATTTAGAACAAGAAGGAACTGTCAAATTTAATGAACTTGTTATTGAAAGAGCCAGTGCGCTTTGGGCCGCAGCTGGTAAAAGTGACACACAAATCATTCAAAAGATACAAACAGATGTTTTCCTAATTCAGTTACAAGACTGATACTTGTGTAACATTTCTGTTGCAGGAGCGGGACATTTGAATGTTCTCAAAACTCTGGTGAGAGCCGGAGCAAATGTGAATCATCAAACAAAAACTGATTCCACTCCTCTCCGAGCGGCGTGTTTCAGTGGACGTTTAGATATTGTTAAATATTTGACCGATCATCAGGCAGATATAAATATTCCCAACATGTTCAACAACACTTGTCTCATGATAGCAGCGTACAAAGGATATCCTGATATTGTAAGAAAAAGAACTATTTAAAATTGATGCGAAACAAAGTATAGAAAATATTTACATACCTGGATTTAACAAATTAAACATCTAAAACCTGTGCTTTATGTAAAAAAAAAAACTCTTCAGGTGAAATTTCTCTTGGACAAAGGTGCGGATCCTAACAAGAAAGCGTATTGTGGAGCAACGGCGCTGCACTTCGCGGCGGAATCTGGCCACACCATCATCGTTAGCGACTTGTTAAAGTACGGAGCAAAAATGACGAAGAACGCTAGCGGCATGACACCTTTAATAACGGCCGCCGAGCGAACGCGAGGAAAAGTTGTTGATTGGCTGTGTTCACAAAAAATGTGCAAAGTGATGAGGGAAGAGATGATAGACGCTTACGAGTTGCTCGGAGCGTCTTACGCCAATGACAAAGATAACTATTGCCTGACCAAGGCGTACAAGTACCTGCATCTAGCAATGAAATTAAGGTAGACCGCATTTATCATGAGTTTTTCTTCTAGACATTTCTGTGTCTGTGATTTTTTTTATCGCATGTGTCTTTCTATCGCAGGTATAGTGATACTAATAATATTATACATAAGAAATTAGGTTCACCTATAAAGGCGTACGAAAACTGGAGAGAGTGCGAAACGCTAGAAAGATTAGAAAGCATCAAAAACAATCCCAATGCGATACACATGGAGTCACTCGCTATTCGAGAGAGAATATTAGGTAGACACACACGCACAGATTGTTGTTGCGCGACCTCGTTGTTGTTAATCGCGCGATGGTTAAGCTTTTCGCTATCGGAATTATTAAGAGTTTCTCCTGTGTTGTTTTTCACATTGTTTTGCGACGTGATTGACCACGTGACTGTGCGTATACAAAGGAGAGCAAACATGTGATCTAACCTCATCTCAAGTTTTGCTCTGCGCATACGCTCTATTGTGCGGAGTGGGAGTAAGAAGCTTTAACTATAGCGAGATTTGAAACCGGCGACTTAACAATAACGTGATCTTACTTTTATACAAAATGTGATTACACTTGTGTGTGTGGATGCTTTTTCGAAAGAAGGAATTCTTTCTCGTTTGCTAGGTACTCATAATCCGGAACTGCCACATCCCATAGTATTCAGAGGCGCTATATTCGCGGATTACGCCAGATTCGACAGGTGTATAGATCTGTGGCTGCACGCTCTGCAATTGCGACAACTCAACAACGTGTCCATCTCGACGGATCTTCTACGATTTGCGCAGGTTTTCTCGCAGATGATACACGTGGGCGTCGGTCTGGATCTTTCGCAGGTGATAAACGTGTTGGACGCGAGTGTTATGGAGCTAAGCAGAAACAAGGCTAAGATTCAAAATCCGAGTCCCAAAGACGACGTTGAACGATGCGTTGTAAGTTCATTGAAAAAAAAAAAAAAACACTTCGCGTCCTAAGGGTCGTATTCTTTTTTTTTTGTTTTTTTACAATACAGTCGCTTGTATTGAAAGTTACTGGTGTGCGCGAAATGATTATTAGAAAGCACGCGTGCTTTTTTGTTTATTTGATGCAGTTATTTCTGGAATCATCGAAGTATCCGGTGAATGCGCGCGCACCGGACAACGATAATACGCGCGATTGCGTGCTGTATCGTCCCCGAGAAAAACGGGGAAAAACTATTTCTATATATTCAGAAGTAATGTCTGCATAGGAAGAAATGGAATCGAACATCACAACGACTCTGTACATTCTGACGATTCTAACGAAACTGATGACGCTGAACGGGAACAGAGGCAATGAGGAAGAGTTGTCGCGAGCGCATCAACTTGTGCACAAATTGTGCGCGTTGAAAGTGTGCTTGAAGGACGGCCAGACTCTGTTGCACCTCGCGGTGAACTCTGAAACTCCAGTCGACGATTTTCACACTAACGATGTCTGCAAGTACGTCGCGTGGAAACCTGCAACAACCGAGTGATCACAAAAAAAAGAAAAAGAAAAACTAATTGTTTCGCCTTTACAGGTTCCCATGCGCAGCTACGGCAAAATTATTAATTCGCTGCGGCGCCGATGTAAACGCGATGGATAACAAAAGAAACACACCGCTTCACATCATTGTTGGTTACGGCAAACCGATCAGGTGCGCGATATAAAAATTACTCATCGAGCATTTAACTAAATCTTTACAACGTTCTAATGATTTGTTAATTTATTCAGCGACTTCGCGACTTTGCACGCAATCATAATGAATCTCATAGAAGCGGGAGCGCACATGGATACTGTAAATAACAAGGGACGCACTCCGTACGAGACGGGTACTACGACAGGTAAATCCGATTTTGATTATCTTTTTCGCAACACGGTTTCCCCCGAGCCACACTTGGCCGATATTCAATTTCTTATTTTAGGTGTAGCCAAAATAATATTGCGAACTCAGACAAAATTGTCATTAACGTGTATGGCGGCCAAAGTGATCAAGACCTACAACCTGCCTTACTCCGGTCACGTTCCGCGCTCGCTCGAGAGCTTTATAGAACTGCACGGGCCCGGATTGTATCAGAGTTGACGTTACTGCGACATTCTCGACTCGTCGCGTATAAATATGATACGAACGTTATAACATCACGCATAGAAATCGCAACGAGATCGACGAATAATCCACATTTTGACAATATATACTCTTCCGAATGTCGCGCGCACTGATTTTTACTGCGCGAGATACGCTAATCATTGTCAAAAAAAAAATATCTCTGTTCAGTGAAAAAAAAACAAACTATTTGAATGATTACGAGGCTATTTTATAATTCTCTCAGTTTTCGTTATTGAGAAGTTTTTGCTACTTATAAATGTAATTACTGTGATAAATAAAAAAAAAAAAAAACAATTCAGACTAAAATAAAGTTTGTAGACTTTTAGGGCGAAGAAGTGTATAGTGTGGAGAGTTTAAACTTTTAGATATAATATATATATATAATACACATATATATATATACGCTCTCGTGATGCTATAATAGATTTATTTAATATTTACACACGCATATATTCTGTATACAATCGTAGAACGCTAACGAAGTAATGGTAAAACATATAATAAGTAAGAATATACAAATATTACGCACAAATACTTTACAACAACGTATTAATTACGTATTATTTACATGTTTACAGACTCGGCTTTTATCATCCGCTCTTTATTTTACACATTTTACAACGGCGCTCGCTTATCGATAACACTTCTGTACAAATATACACGTGTGTTCGAAAATCGTTTGGCAAAGAGAAAAGAAGAGTAAAAAATAAATAGTAATCCTTATAAGCAGGTACAATTTTATTCGTGGCGTCAGAAATTTTTTTTTCTTTTTTTTCACGTAGATACACATTCGCTCTCTGTATTTATTTTATCGGAGAAAAACCGAATGCACACTTTTTCTTCGTAGTTCCGTGTTATTAGGGTGCGACGTATCAACGGACAACGCCGATTTCTAAATTTTCGCATTTAAATTTCCGCTGCCCTGTACCTTTAGTCATTCGAAACAAAAAAACATTGCAACGATATATTTCGATATTTCGCGAAGAGACGCAAATATCTAACATATATATATGTATATATATATATATATATACATATACAGACAATTGCGCAGCAAAATAACCACCTGACCAGATAGCCATTTACATCTGACAAATGCTATTTTTCTGGCACAATTGCTTTGATGCGATATTGACGAAATTTACTTGAAAGTTTTATTAATTAATTAAAAGTTTTATCAATATAAATTTAATTTTAAAAAATTTCGCGCGCAGAATCTATATTTTGAAAATTTTGTTAAGTTAAATATAAAATAATGACTCATTATTGGATTATAGTTGCCATCGAGCATTTAAAACAATAAAATACTTCAACACAAGACGAGTGCCAAGTCTCGATAGATGGAATATTTCCATTTCAAAGTCCACGGTGTCTCGTATTTTCCGTGTCTTCTTGATACACCTGTTGCGTATTCGGTTAATAAATAATCGTTCATGACGCGAGTGACGTATCGAGCATACACGATAATAATAATAACGAAATATTAAAAATATTAAAAATATTTAAAAAATGTTAAGTGTTCTTTATTGGCAAGAGATCTTTCTTTGCACGAGATCTGTATCGGAAGAGTTCTTTTTTTTATTATATATCTTTTTATTTATATTATCTGATATTATTGGTAATATATATATTTATGTGTATGTAAAGTTGACACAATGTGTTTTTGGTAAAAATTACATGTTCCATACATGTGATTAGAATCGATTAGAGAAAAATCACCGCTGACTTTTCCTCGTGTAAAATCTGGCAGCAGAGAATGATCCGCTGACGTAGGGTGCGTTTGCTTTGGGCGCTTGCGTGCTTCGGGTCCGTCTTTTATTGCTCTTCGAATGTAGAACAAAGATAGACTGGACGCTCAAAGCGCGTGAGCGCCCGAAGCAAACGCCGCACCTGTAGAGTGAGAATAGGGAATCGGCCGCGTTCAGCGGAATCGAACGCTTAGTAAACACTTTGTGACTGTTGTCGTTGGTGGCTTGTGTAATTTTACAGTTGCAACAGATCTAGAGAAATAGACCAATCATCAAACAAAGCGCTGAATTCTGCCGAACGTGGCGCAATAAATTTCCGCGTTTATACACACTTAAAGATAAACTTAAGAGACACTTGTTTGCGCATTATACCTGTCTTTCTACAAAGATTCGGGAGACGCTGGGCGAATGTTACAAACAAAAAACAAACAAAAAATGTTGCAAAATTGTACCTTTCGGTCATCACCTTGCCGGACAAAAAGTTACTTCTATCGTCGTGTTCTTAATTGGCGATCCGCTTGTAACAAAGTTCATCAACTTTGCTAACGTTGATTGGAACGGCTGAATCATTGCGCTGTCCAGATACGACGCCGTTATCATCACTCTCGATCAATCTCGGTGATGATCTGGCAATTGTTGCGATTGCCAGTAAGTTGGTTCTGCCACAATTCGTAGCTAGATTACACGTTGTGGATTGAGAAACAGTTGCCAATTGTCTCTTAGGCGGAGTAAACTCGAAAACAAATTTCCGATTATCTCGTAAGTTTAAACTTTCTCTAATTCGCTATCAGTCATGGATTTATTCGTAAAACTTATTTATTTAAAAAAAAAAACAAAAAAAAAAAAAAAAACAAGGATTCACTTCCGACGACCGATATTTCGAGCATGCGGTGCAAAAAGTTCGTACATCCTCACACGTCCGATTGTGTTGTAAACTAAATTTCCGGTTTTTGGTTCACGCGAGAACTCTCGATATACGGATGAAATCACGGACATTTAACGTCGTAAGTGTAAACAACTTAACACCGTTCGTACTCGCACGTTGTGTTCTATCTTTTTTTTTTTTTTTTACTCAATACACCCACAAAAAACAAACACGATGAACGCGTATGTAAACACGTCGGCCCTTGCAGCGCGCGAAAACTAACATATCTCTTTCTTTGTCCTGTCGCCGCGCTGCTTCGCAAGTCGTTTCTCGATGAAACGACGAGAACACGAATCTCGCACGCCGCCGACTAAAAGAGGAGACACCGCGGCCCGTGAGTCTCAGCGGCAGCCGCATCCGAGGACCGACATGTCCTGATAGTTCTTTAACACCACCTTGTTCTCCTCATCCAGATAGAGCATAGAAATCGAGCTGAGCAGAGTTGGCACGCAACACGCCTTTGGCACCATCGTCGGCTTGGTCGAGTAAACGAGCGTCTGGACGATCGCGTGATTCGTCGAGTTCAGATGGTCCGCAAGAGGAAACGGGCAATCACCGTGGCAGTAGAAGGCGTCGTATCCGGGCGGCGCAACAATCCAGTCGTTCCAACCAACATCCACGAAGTCAACGTACAGCGGATGCCGACGACAATTCTCGCGTCCGTCCTTCCGCCGATTTTTGCGAAGGGCGGCCCGTCTGGCACGCCGCTCCATTATCTGATTCGCGGTCGCCATTTTGTAGCGGCCGTCGTCCATGTATGTGAGAAGCATCGGACGGTTGACCACCCACGCGTCCGCGTGCTCGTCCGCGGCCCGCTTCAGTCGCACGTGTTCCCGCTGCTCGACGGGCGCACCCTTCACATCGGTCACGTGCACCAACAACCCGTGATTGTCACGGTGATTCTTCATCCACCTTGCAACGGCCGGATGCACGTCAAGACTGATCGTGTAGTTCTGCGTCATGTTGATCACCTTGCTGTCGATCAGCCGCAGTATCGGTTTGCTGCGACCCTTTGTGCCCGGCCGCATTATGTCGTACACCATCACTCGGCAGCGATTCGATTTACCCTCGACGCTTGGCATCGCGACGCGCGCCAGATTCAGTTCAGCCGCCTGTAGACTCTCGCTGTCGGGAATCTTGCTCACGTCAAAGTGCAGCCGAACGCGGTTCGGGTTCTTAAACTTGTGATCCAAGTCGCTCTCTGAAAAAAAAAAAAAAAAAAAAACAATACAATACGATTTAAACGTACAAGTCGCAATACAAATTAGTGAAAAAATTAATTTCAAGGAGCGTCTTTTCGCTTGTAAGTGTGCGCACGACTCGGGAAGTGAATTAATTAATCAAGTTTAACACACGGTATGACAAAGAAAGGAATTAACACGCATCTTTAAGATACAAGGTGGAGAGACGAGACATCGCTTTTTCGCGTTGCGGACGTAAAACTGTTTTTTTTTTTTTTTTTTTTTTTTAATTAAAAGTCTCTCTTGGACGCACAATTACCTCATCCAGGTCCCGATCGAACGTAGGATAAATCACGAATCTTGTTTTTATGAGAGACTGTTTAGAAATTCAATAGGCAAAGGCGATTCTTTAAATTTCCTGTTGCTCTCTCGCCGGCGAGATTTAATCGCAGACAAGTTTATTTATATTTATGGCATTTGTATATTAATAAGAATTGCTGCCGGAATGATCTCTCCCACGTGACCCGACGTGTCAGTCTTTTTCTACGACGCGCGCGTAATTTAGGTTTTACGCTTCTGGGAAAACAGCTAATAAGAGTTAAGATCTATGACGCAGTTTGCGATCCTCTGAAACGGCTCGAAAAACAGCGGATTGCAAGAGCGGCGGCTTGCAGCAGTCCATAAACGCAGCGGGTAATATGTATGTAAATTTCGTAAGAGACGATGTTGCACACACGGACACACCCGCCGATATGCAGGCATGCCGCATACATCATCCGCACACGCGGAGAATCTAGCGATTGTGTGTGATGGAAGCGAGGTAGACGGTAAAAATGTCAAAGGACTCCTATCCTCGTTGTTAGACGAACCATCTTTCTGGGACTGCATTTTACGCGCGATCCATTTCCACACGGGAAGGGATCGATCGCGTTCCGATTTCGTCGCGATGATGAAATTTCTTTTCACGATCTACCTGAACGATTTTTCATTTACAAACATTGTTTTATCTGTTCGTAGAATTTCGTTAAATATCACATTTCGCGATCGATCGTCATCGCCCGCTTCGAAAATTTTTCTCTTCTCTTCCCCCGATCGACAATGTGATCGTTCAATGTGTTACATCAGATCGTGCAAAGAAAAAGAAAAAAAAACACAAAGCCGTGTGTGTAATCTCCGAGTTATTGAAATGTATCGTTTGTAAACAAAATAAAACGTGAGCGCTTTTTTTAGCACACACTGACGCGCCACATGGAGCGTCGGCCGTCAGAATTTCATTTGCGAAGCGTAGCTACGTCGAGAATTCCTGCGCCTGAGAGAGGCTCTATAGCGTCGGGAACTAATAATAATCGGAGATTGTTGTGAATGAAAAAAAAACAAACCGCTGAATTGGAGGCGCAAATTACTTCTCACGTTGTGATTTCATCGACGCCCGGATTTTGTTTCACGTTGGGATCTCGTTTTCTTTCGCGCGCGCGAGAAGATAACAATAAAACGGCTGTACAGATAAACATGTGTAAACGTTTGTGTGCGAGCAGAGAACGGGGAGGAGGGAGGGACAAATATCTGCGTTTTTATTAAAAGAAAAAGCGCTTTCGTCTCTATCTATCTATGAAAAACAAATGCATCAACGTGTTTTCTAGCGCGGTACCAGTCTAATTTCTTTCTAATTTCTTTCCATCTTTCTAATTTCCTGCTATCTTCATCGCTCCGAGCACTTTCTCCTTCTGATTATGTCATCCCCGTAAAGTGCCTCGACTGCTTTTAGTGGTCTCTTGTTCTCGGGATTATCTGGAATAGCGATGCTATCCGCTGACAATGACATGGGATCGGGAACGATGATCGGTCGAAGAGACGAGAGAATGTCGGACCGCCCAGACCTTTTAATATCCGGATGTGAATCATTGTGGTACGGAAGCTCTCTCTCTCTCTCTCTCTCTTTCTCGGGTCTCTCTCGAGAGCGAAAGGTAGCGGAGACTCTCCGGATAGTCTCTTCGGACATTCCAAGTTGGTCTCATCATCGAGCGATAATACCGCCGCTAAAGAAGATGGACCGTGTAAGAAGCTGAGTCTTTATTGTTTCTTTTTTCTCTTGCTAGAAGGAACCCTCCCGCGTGGGGGCACACAATCGGATCGAGCCCACACGGCACGTTCTCGACAATCACCGTGGACCGAAAAGCCCTTTGTCGGTTGAACCACCATGAAATCGTTGAGAGATGCCTTTCTTTTCCTTTTCACACGAAGGGAGACGAAGTCGCGCGAACGTAACGTATTATTTTGTGTGGAACTCTTCTGAAGAAAAGAGCTCCCTCTAAAAGACCCTTAAATTCACGTGGAACAAGGGATTCTACATGAGAATTCAATATTGTTCTCTTTCCGAATCAATATTTTCCGTTGAATTATATTACAAATCTTCTTTTAGAGAAATACAAATAAACCCCGGAGATAATACAAACCGCGTGAGATCGCACAATCGGATCGTGGAGACGGCACCGGGAGGGGGGAAAAAAAAGAACGAATTTGTCGAAAATCCACGTTTCATTCACGTTTCTCGCCGCGCGCGCGCGCGCACACTGTTCGAATGACGATTGATAACGAGCGCATTGCATTCCATTTACTACTGCACTTTCACTGAGAGACGAAAGAGTCGCCAACCTGTTTTCGAATTACAAATCCTAACTAACGCTAGTTTTCTCACCATCACGTTCGCGTGATTCGCGAATGTTTAGGCGTGAAAAACATATGCGTAAATAATATAACAATATTCTGTTCGACTCTTAAACTTATTCACGATGTGGAATTTCTTATAAAACCTCATAACTTTAAGATAAACACAGATAAATTGTTTTTTTTTATCTTATCGGAGCTGTATTAGCTAAGCGTAACTTTTGTGTAAACGTATATCTCGTCCCTTACATTCCTTAGATAATCCCGTTTCTTAGATAATAAACGTTTAGAGACTAGTTTCATAATTCGTAAGCAAGTTGTTATCCTCTCTCCCCTCTTCTGTTTCGCGTCTCGTATTTTGAAATTAATTCGCTCGACTGACAAAGAGAATACAAACCCACTCACCGATGTGTGGAAACGTGCGAACGGTGTTGGCCGATCGCGCGTGAATGCCTCGTTTCGCGATGTCAGTGGTGCCGATCGCGTTCTGACGCTCGTAGAGCTTCCTGAGTGATTGCGGAACGTGCGCCGGGCCCTGCGGCTTGGGTTTCTTCGTTAAACCGAGCAGAGGGAGCAGACTGGCTTCCATCCCGGCGATCACCTGTTCGCGCTCTTTCCCTTCGAGACGTTTCGATGACGACGGTAATGACAATAACGACGACGACGACGACGACGATGACGATGTTGCTGTTGTGTTCGTGTTGATGCGTAAGCTCGCCTCTGCGTTAGCATTCGCACTTGTTAGCAGCGCGACTGCTGCTACGAGCACCAATTTCAGCAGCGGCGACATGCGCATCGTGATGTCGTCACTCACTGACGTTACCTCCCTGAAAGCGAAAAAAAACAAACTTGCTGAAAAGAGTGGATTAATAAAAAAAAAAACAACGAATTGGCGAAAACTGTTGGAAACAATTGGCTTCCCTATCGTTGCGTTAATTATTCTGTCGCGCGATCTAAGTTACCCGCGAAACTGACTTTTTATTACAAAATCCGGCAATTGTTTTCCGTGACGAATAAGGAGAAATATTTGAATTATAATACAACTATGTAGCTTTGTGTGCAGAAAAACACAAAATTCAACACATCGCCCAAACTGATTAATTATCCCTGTTAGCTCTGACGTTCTGCAGAGCACGTCACGAAAGGTACTGAAGGAAACCCAACGGAAGATACCTCGATAGATGACCCTGTCTACAAGATTAGTAGAAAATGCTGATTGGTTCGAAGAATTTTGGGAAGGGATGAAAGAATCTTTTCCGAGATAAGACAATGGTTCCTTGAGAAAACACGCTTCGAAACATGTAGAATGCAAAGAATGATGAATCATGCAACGGCAAACATGCATTTTCCAAACAAAAAAAATAAAAAACTATTTCTGGTAACGATCAATCGTGCGAGATCATTTTTTAAATATTCTTTCGCAAAACAAACGCGCGCGTTTGTCATTCGTTCGCGATTGTTCGGTGGCTGTCGGAAATTTTTCACAATTTCTTCGATTTAGCGCGAAGGATTCCGATTCGATTGGCGATTCCTCGATTCGATCGCCAACAGGAGAGAATCGTCGAATCCGGGCTCGACTTCCAAAGTGATCGCTTTCTCTTACTCTCGACCGCGAACGGTTTTTTACGATCTTGTCAATGTTAAAATCCAAAAATATCTTGGAAAGTTCTCGAAGCGAATTAGACGACCGAGCAAAGCGCGAGGGAGACGCGCGGCTGTCACAAACGAATTTTTTTCTTTTTGAAAAATCTGTCGCAGTTTCGCATTTTCATTCTTTATATAAGAAGTTGAGTCACACAACACACGCTCGGGACGGGAGGGGGGAGGGAGGGACAAAACATTTCATTTGCTTAATTGCCTAATGTGTTTACGATATTTATGTTAATGCGGCGCGGAGTAACACACACGCCGGTACGTTTGTGCACAAAGTTCGCGGCTTCGGGAAAGATCGTGAAGCGGATCGATCGCGTGTGCGTAAAGCAAATGCGACTCGCGCAATTGACGCGTTCGGAGCTACGCGCGACACGCGATTGCCGCGTGTAATTTTCGAAATTACGGATCGGAACAATGTTCGCGCGTCGTGACATACTTGCTTGTGTGCATTATAACAGCCGGAGCTCCGACAAGTCGGACAAAACTGGTTTCAAGCGATTTTAAGCGCACGTTTCTCGCAAACGGCGGAATATTTATGCTCCGTGGCTCGGTCGCGCGCGCGCACGCAGCGCATTATCGGTGGATGTTAAACGGATATACATACACAAACACATATATGTATATATATATATATATATATATATATATGTATATGTATATTATACGTATTTCACTCTCGATTTCATTCAGCACAAAATGCCGAGAGACCGGCGAATGCCTTCCTGTTTTAAAACGAACGTTGACGCGAATCGGAGAGGAAACGCGTGACTGTGATGCGATTGCGAGAAGCAAAGCGAAAACAAGCTCCTTTTGTTTTACCGTACACGAAAAGGTTAAGCGCTATATAGAGAGTGCATCTCGCGTAACCGTTAAGTGGAAAAGTATGAGAGGCGACTATAAATACATCAAATTTAAAATACGTAAAATATCAATTTAGAAATTACGCAACTCTTCGGAGTGCGTGCGCGTGTTTACGATTTTTTATGTTTTTTAATCACACAAATTCCGAAATGTCTCGACTATTTTTTTTTTTTTTTTATTCCGCAGACGTCTCGAATTCGAGATTTAATTGTATCTCGATTAATCCGTACGCACGTGAGGCCGCGGAAAAAAACACGAGGCGTTGGAATAAATCACAATACGTAATGAACAAACTCTGAGATACATTATTAGCTACATGAGATGCCACCTCTTCTAATTCTAATTGAAGGCGCGTGATATTTTTCCTGTTTTTTACGATTTTGTAAACACGCGCACGCGTGCAAAAGCACGCGAGTTCTCGGTATTCGTGCGAATATACGTTTGGCATACTCATCAATAGCGATGCTAACGCGCGCGCTAATTAAGTCTAATAATTCTCTTCGCAGAAAGACGTCCGACACGCGCATATAATATCATCCTCTTCCCGCTCCCCATTTCCTGACGCTTTCTTCCGCCACTCGAATAGCACACGAAATGTATTTAACTCATTGCGCACAAAAGAGAGTATGTTTCATACAGCGACGGCGCATGGAAAAAAAATTTGCCAGACTAGCGAGAAAATTTTGCTAAGACTGTTTTGGGTTTTTTGCCAACAAAATGTTTTGTCGACGAGACAAAAGACTTGGGAAACTGAACGAGTTTTCTTGCTGATGACCGTATAATGGCAAAAAAACTTGTTTTCCGTGTCGGAACTCTTTCTCGTTATACTATTGCACATTTTGATTATCATCCACCGAGATGTCATTCTCTGCATTTTTTAGTTTTAAAACAATAATGTTTTTCTTTATGCAACTTTTATTACAATCACGTAACTCAATGATGACAACAAAGAGTCGATCAAATGACAGTCTGTTTAGCGAAAGAACGAAGATGAGACTGGGACAGAAAGAGGTTTCCCGACAACTCAATTAATTTTTTAATCGAAAAACTAAAATCGAATTACGCGACTCGCGATTACGCGTCTTCGCTCGCGTATGATGACAGCGGGATACAATATGGCGGTTTGTACCGCTCGGTGGGATACGCACCGTTCCAGGTGAATCGCGCGGGCCCGCACGAGGGCTCGCGGGGACCTCTCGTGCGGCCCTGGCTACAAACACACAGAGACCGGGTAGAAAGGTTGGTGGGACCAGAGCCAAGCTGTCTGCCGCCGCTGCCTCTCGCGCGCTCGCCTCTCTCGCGACCGCCGGGAGCGACGCCGAGCCGCGCGCGACTCTCGTTGCGCTTTAAAGTTAAGTAACACGCAGAGATATCCTTTCTTCGCGCCTCTCTCGCGCGAGACCAACTTGTTTTTCAAGGACAATGAATTTACCGATGGACGCATTCGCGCGGAAAAAGGCTCGTCACGCTTGCATTCCTCTCGCGGTGTATTATATGGTGTGGGCGCGGGCGCGCGCGCGCGCACGAGCGCGGATAAACACGTAGCAGCGGCGCAAACCAGCCGACCGCCCTTTCGTCGACCACCGGCGGTTGGATAGAGAGCGGACCTGCGTGAGGCCCCGCACAGGTATGCCGGGTCCGAAATACATCCCCGGAGTTTTACGAACGTTTTCGTGGGGACCACCCGCGTGCAAAGGCCCCTCCTTCCTCCTTGAACGTCTCGCGGATCGTTAATGGGGACCAGCGGGGTCGATTCCGCAGGAATTTACGCCGGGGTCTCTCTCCCGTCTTTGCCGGTCTCTAATCGAAGCGGTGCAGAAAAGCTGGCGGCAGAAATCTGCGGAGGCGAGAACGGCGATCGTCGGCGACGGCGGTAAACGGGCCGCCGCCGTCGCCTCCGCGCGTTTTCCCTTTGGCACCGCTTTACCTGGAAACAACATCGGACGAACGTGAACGGCGCGATTGGATTTGCATTCGCGCGCGCGCTTTGCCAGCGCTACGCTGGAATGCGACGCGCTGGAATATACAAGGATAAGGTCGGCGCGGTGCGGCGTTTCACGGTGCACCGGTGAAGCGCGCGCGGAGAGTCTCACATACAGCGTAGGCACGTCATCGTCTAAAATAATCGGGCCGGGGGGTGACGGCGGGGCGGCGACGAGGTTGACGGCGGCGGCGACAATGAGCGCGGCGGCGGTTGAGGAAGAAGTGGGTCGGAGAGTAGAGCGGTGGAACGCCGATCGGAAAGAAAGGAAATAGAAGAAGGAATCTCGCGGTCGCGCGGCGAGCGCGCCTCGTCAAGCAAAGAGAGAGAAACACAGCGGGGAAAAAAATTAAAAACGAGAGAAATAAAGCGGGAGAGAAGGTTGGTTGAGAAAGAAAGATAGAGAGAGAGAGAAGGAAAAAGAGTGAGAGAGAGAAAAATAAAGAGACACGACGTATAGATTGTGCGCTCGATCGCGCGCTCGCGTGCGAGAAAGAGAGAGAGGAAGAAAGACAGGAATCTTTGCTCACCTAACTAATCGCGAGTCCGTAGTTCGAGCAGCCACGGCATCTCAACGAGGGGCTCCCACGGCTACACCACGCGTAACCTCACCTCACACTGGTCACCACTCGCGCGGTCCACAACGCAAAAACCAGGAGGGCACTCTCCGGTGTCCGTCGGTTCGCGGTAGGGGAACGCGGGGGGAGAAATAAACGGGGGTCCGCTTGAGAAGGGAAACGTCGAAGTGACGACTGGCTGGCTGTGTTTCTCGAAATCTGTGCTCGTAAGAATTGTTATTCTTCCTCGTTGCGCTCTTTTCCGCGGTACCATATACGTGTCTCGCGGCCGGACATCTGGAGAGCAAGGAGCGAGCGGCTCGCCGATCCTCTCTCGTCGATCAGGCGGTCATAACGCGCCGTGTGAATCGTGCGTGCTCTCTCGCGAGGAGAGGGAGGAAAGGAGATAGGGCCCTCCTTCGTACACCTGCGCGACCTATCAACAGGTCCCCCCGCACCATGCACGGCACGCACAGGGCACACGGAATCCGGCCTCGCCGAGTTCCAAGCCGATGCGCACGTATGCACGGATCTTCCTCCTCTTCTTTGCCGCTGTGCTCTGCCGCTTCTTCCTTCTTCTTCTTCTTCTTCCTCTTCTACCTGTTGATTCGTCGAGATATACGTCTCTCCTATGTTACAAGATACGACACTATTAATAATCGCCGCGCTACTATCGGAGAACACTCGCGCGTTTCTCCCGAGGTACGACGGACGCCACGCGACGTATCGCGACACACGGGAGCTGATTCTTGAATCCCGTGAATACGCGCAGACGAGAGCGAGCGAACTATCGCGAGGTTTATTAGGCAAGGCCGCGTTCAACGTGTGCTCTCGGACCCCGTTCCAGCGCGCTTCGTTCTACTGGCCCTTCCTTTTCCACGGGGCCCCCCCACTAGGCCGCCGATTCCAGGACCGCCGCGTAGATGCTCGCCGTCCTGGTGCATTCCGCAGCATCAATTCGCGCTTGTTTTCCTCTTCGAGACGCGGATTTTCCGGGAGAATCCTAAAAAAGTAATCTCTCGTATAACATCGACTTATCTAACTTTTACAAAAGCGCTTGTATATTTAAAATTACATTTAAAAACAATTCCAACGCGTTTGCGCCTCATATTCTGTAATACACAAGAGTAACATGTGCGTTTATAAGAACTTTATATTAAAAAAATTTATACGTACAATTAGAATCCGACGTTTGTATATTCCTCTCATGATCCGACTCTGTACCAGAGTTTGTCGAACCTCGTTGGGCGAGTAAAAATTTTTCAAATCAACGCGGGACTTAAGATCCTCATCGTTATATCAGACGGGTACCTCGCACAAAAGAACAAAATGGCGCCCCGCGGAAATGCAAGTTTCGTAAAAACGGAAGTGGGAGGCACGGAGATCGCAAGACGCTCCTGCGAGGCTCGCGCGTTCCTTGTTCCTCTCGACGGACGCGTCGTCGTCCCCGCTCGCACCGTCGTTCTCGGAAACTACCATATACTCACTCCTTCCAGCCAGTCTGCCGCTGCTGCGCCTCTCTCCTCTTCTCTCTGTCGGCCAGCGTTTCTCTCGCTCGCCCGCGAGAGTGGTCCTCAACCCTATTCCCTCGTTCATCTCTTCCCTGCCCAGCTCGGGAGGCACGTATCTTTCGCATACGCGCGATACACATCGGGTCCTAATCCGCTGAAAAAAAAAAAGAAAAGAAAAAGAAAAACGAATCGATCTCAGACTTCATTCGCGAGGATATCGGCGCGCTGTCACGTACAGGTTTTACCGGACAAGAATTCCGCGTGACTTGACGAACTTATTTGTGTTAATCCACGTATCTCTCTTCTGTACTACCTTCGTCTTCGAGAGCTCTCCTTCGTGTGAAGTATCGTTTTTTGCCGAGACCAGTAGAAGATGTTTGTACAAAATCTTATTTTCTTGGTTTTTTTTGTTTTTGTTTTTGTTTTTTTTTTTTTTTGAGGAGACGAACTTTCCTCGGCGCAACGGTCGAACTTTCCAACAACATTCTCTTCGGTCAAACTCGACAAATATATCGATATTTACTGCTGCGTGCACCATCTGTACTCTGCTGTGCGCGAATTCCAAATTACGTAGCTACGCGCGTGTTGTGTGTGTGTGTGTATTATGCAATTTTCTCAGCTATTTAGAAAGTCTAATTTATGTAATGCAATTTGTTATTGAAGTATCTCAATCGTTTTTGCAAATTCGAGCAAAACGCAGCGCGACACAAACGCGATGTAGTCGGCGCTTCGCTCTCGTGGAAAAGCAGCAAAATTCACCAGCAGAAGTCGCGGATATCGAATCGAAAATGCAGGAAGTGATTTTATCACTTATTGACAGTACAGCGAATTACATCGAGTCTTATCGATCGAGCGAACTCGCTTATTCGCTCTTCTACTTTACGATATCAGAAATTCGCTCGCTTCCGTAACAAGGTTTGCTGGCTTTTCTCCACATCAACTATCCCCTCAGATCTTGATAAAAATCTTTATTTAAGAAAACCTCTTTACGTTATATACATGCACTTTACATCTATGTAGTGTACAAGGTGTTTCCTAAAAAAACCTACCGAAAAATATTTCGGTAGATTCTTTGGCACGTTCCAAAACGAAATTTCAATGGGAAAGTAAAGAGACTATATACAATAGCTTTTAAATTACGAGCGATTAAGGATCGTTAAAGTTACTCAACCTCTGGCCACGACGGAGATCTCAGAACGTTCCAAAGAAGTTGAAATATTTTCCGGTAGCTTTCGGACACCTTGTGTAAAAAAATGTTTATGTACATTTCTATGTGTGTATTGTGTGTTTTCTTTTCCTTTTATGCCGGCACTTCCGGAAAAAGATTCACCAAGAGATGATCAAGCAAAAAGTATGCCAGATGTTTGTTGAAGGGCGCATTTTGCAGGGGATCCAACAGAGAATCCATCAGCTTGTTCCAAGGCTTGGACAGTCCTATTAGCCACCATGGTAACAAGGAATACAATCCTTCTTTGGCAGTCTTACAGTAATCGCGACATTTGTCTTGCGAAGAAAAGTCCTTCACGTAATTCCCGCCTACTATTTTTGCGTGTAGGAGTTTGACGACAATAGAGGCGCGACCGCCGCTCAGAAGCTTAATCAGCATGTTGTAAAACATCGCGTTAACAATAGGATCCAGTTTCTTACGCGACAAAGAAGCGAACACCCAGAAGAGTCGCGAGATGATCGAGGGCACGTTCAGCAAACCATCCACTGCAACGACAACGTTGACGAATAAAACTTTAAAAATCTAACGCACAAGTAAAACAAATGAAACTGAACTCTTACCAGCTTCCATAATGCACAAACTCGCACCCCTTACGTGATCACGCTGCGGCAAGTTGCACGGAAAATTCTGAAAAGCAGTGGGTAGATCCAGATTATTGCCAAATACACCGTCCATGAGCTTTCTGCCTTTGCTCTTCACGTCGAGATCGTGATCGCTCGACGGTTCGACGCCCACGTCCATATGCTCGTATTTCGTGTTCGTGGACGCCAGAAACGTGCTCATAAACTTGTCGAGATGCTGTCCCTTTTCCTTGCGCAATTTGTAAGCCATGCTCTGATACAGAATGCCGATGTCGGGCGTGCTGTAGTTCGCGAAGTACGGTTTCAAGTGCGGCGTCGTCAGAAAGGTGTAGAGGAGCTCGCTGCTCCTCAGCATCGGCTTGGACAGCAACTTCTGCAAAAACTCCTCGTAACGCTGGCGGTTAGCGGTAAGAGGTAAATGGGGGTTTTTGCGCGACGGTAACGGCGAATCGCTCAGCTCCTTATCGCCGTGGAACTCGGCGAGTCGCGTTCGCAGCGCGTAGAAATCTTGATCTTGTCGCAAAACCGTCCACGACTTGGCCTCCGCTACGCTGTGGATGGCAATCATGTAAACTGGTTGCGTGCCGCCGCCGTCCACGTGTGGGACGGCAACACGCCACGTCGTTAAATCACGACGACTCTTGAAGCCTTTGATTTCATTATACGCTCGAGCGGTGCAATCTACTTCCTCGACCGGATAATCCTGTAGTTGAAACGGAGCACCGTCCATTGTGGTTGTGCGTAGAATCCCGTCCATTTTGCTCGGTTGATTGTTGGATCGTACAAGAGTCAAAGCGCCTCCGCTCGCACTGATTTGAGCAAACACGTGTTTCGTGCACAAATTTTTACATAATTCAAATATATTTGAAATACTTACTTGGCTGCGATAGTTCTCGTCGCATTCGCTTTTGTTTGCTCCGACACTAAACGACCGCACAAGCGTTTATACAGCTGAAACGCAGTAAAATTATAATAAACATCAAGTTGTGTGATTGAAGATTCAATAGTTGACATATTTTTGACGTTAAAATTTGTAGCGATGTGAATTGTAAAAATATTTTTACCTGATAGCTGTGATGGAATGACGGTAGACAAGTGCTTTCGAGGAGTGCATGAGCTTCTTGGTGAGCTTGGTAGAACGGTCGTGACGTTCGTAGCTCTTGAATTTTTTCTGGCCCACCTTCCAATACTAGGAACACACGCGGTAATTCCATTTAATACAAAATGTGTTTACTTATGATACAAAAAATTACTTACTTTGTTGTATGCCTTTCGATATGTGTAGCGGCAAATACAGATATTCCGGACCGTCGGGATCAAGATAAACCGTGTACATATTCTGAACGTCTACATACAAGCTTTTCTCAGCGCTTGACGTCATTTCCGGATTCAGCATATGTTTACTCAGATCATCTGCAAAAGAAAGAGATGTGACTTTTGAAAGAATTATTATTTACAAAAAGAAAATATTATTATACCGTACGTACCAATATCCAAACAAAATTGAAGAAGATTCATGGGTCCTGTCTCTTTAATGTGTTGCATAAACATGTACAACAGTTCGGGATCGTTCAAGACCTCAGTCAACGACGGTTTGAAATAATTTTGTGTGATGTGCGAATGCATCGCTGGAAGCGTCACCCAGGACTGCAACATTGGTACATTGACACTCTCCGCGGCATCAGACAAAGAGGTATCGCGATGAGTGGACAAGTTTACTAGCATGTTTATATTTTCTGGATCGGCAAGTGCGTCGATTGCTGGTAACAACACCCAGTTTGCCAAAATTTCTCGAAGTATTACCTAAAAACATATGTGCACGCGTATATGTTTGAAATAATTTAAATACTTGTGTGAGAGAATTTCTATAAACCATATTAAATACAATATATATTACTTTGTTGTTTGCCGAAACATGTATGGCGGGTAACAAATGCGGCAGCAGTGCGGTGGCCAGTCCGCGCAAATAGTTCAACTCAGCCTTCCTCGAGAAAGCTGCCGGATGAATTTTCGAGCTCAGGTAACTGCCGATGTAATCCTGCGGCATTCTAATTTCAGACTTTGATTTCTTAACGAGCACATTCCAATCTTGAGCGTGTTGTATAGCCAGAGGAATCAAATCACAAAATATGATAGTCCCTATGTCCGCGCGTAGCAATCGTATGGCAATATTTTTTGCCGCGGTCGTTATAGCTAGACGCAGCTGTTGTATGAAAGCCTTATTCGTTGAAAAATCCGAGTACCACGCGCAGACGTAAATTTGCAGTATCTTTTCCAAAAGCTACAACAAAGCAGAATTATTCTTGTTATCAGTATATACAAGAACAGTAGAGAGTATCGTAACATACGCAATAATAAATAACAATATTGACATCGATGATGCAACAATTACCTGTTCTAGCGCGAGGTCGAAGTCTTTGGGAACCTTGACCTTCGTTGAATGCGGCAATAACTTGTGCCTCGTGCAGGTGTTGTTGCTGCAGACGCTGCACGAATTCTTGATCTCGTACCTCGCGATGAACTTGCCATTTACGATATTGAATCTCGTCAACAAGCTATCGACACTTTGCAGCAACGGAATCGCGTAAAAACAGGCGATTGCGTAAATACTCGTCACAATAAACACCCATACAATGCTGCAATTACGAAGCGAGGTACAGTGCGATTAATACTGTCGCAACGCAAAATTCGGATAATCGCGCAAATCGCTCACCTCTTAAATGCAAATACAATGAATACGATGAGCAAACTGACGACAGCTGTAACTACGCTAAAAAAGTATAAATCGAGCATTTCCTCGGAACGTTAAATGAGACCAGGTATGTAACAACACACAAGCGTGTTGTTTAACGAACCATCCTTGTTTACACAGTATTTACACTTGGAGCGTTCGGAGCGTTCGAGAAAAATACTCGTAAAATTACTCGAGAGAGATGAGTGTTTTCGTTCGTGCACGATTTGACATTTCGTTGACAGCAAGGTGGCGACTCTATAGCGCGAGCCGCGCTCATGGGGGTTGTTGGAAACACATGGTGCCAATTGTGCGACGAACAATTTTTGCGACAATTGACAACAAATGGCCGATGGAAAAAAAACTTGATTTTATTTCTGTGCGATATTCAAGAATGTATGGACAAAACAATTAATTTAGAGTAACCTATAAAACCTCTCCCATTGGCATTGTTGTTGTTTACGCGTATATTTTGTTCTAATATCTATTTTAAACTGAAAAGATGCCGGCACCTCCAGATCCGAAATTTTTGTTACGCGGTGACATGGACGAGAGGGTGCACAGCTTGTTATTCCGGATTAATTCCGACGTGGAGCATCTTTACGCTGGCGACGGAAGTGGCACACTTCACATATGGGATTTGAGAGTATGTATAGTTTGTTAAAAACTGTAATTAGAATTAGAAATAATTGGATTCAATCGTTAAAGCTTTTTGTTATTTTGCAGAAAAATAGGATAGTCAGTCAGTTCACCCACGACCGCAGTCCGTCCTTCAATTTACATGCAACCGATGAGACTGACCTGATAGTGCAACGAAGATCCGGTGAAATACAGGTATACAATGTAAATGAATCAAGTTGGACGCTAGTTAAAAGTTTTTCTTTCACATTTTACAACTATTGCAGGTATATTTAATAAATGTACTATATGTGAACTCTGCAAATTGTATGATGAGTTAAAGTTTTATATAAATGAAAATTGTGCATTACAGATCTCAATTGTCACCTGAGAAGCAATCAATATTTATTCCACTCGAATCTTCAGCAGTTGGAATGTTGTCTTTAAAAACTTTTGATATAGAATTGACATTAGATCCGTCTAAACTGTCGTTTGGTAACAAACTTGGTCAGATAATGGCGATAAAACCACTAACAGATGTGGATGGTTTGGTTCTGGTCATTTATGAAGTTGGAAAGATGTTATTGTGGGATATAAGAAAGAATGAGGTTGTCAGTTCTCTCAAGGTGGAGCAATACCCAATGACCTTTGATTTTGATACTTCGCTGATGAAGGGAATTCTCGGTAGCGCGTCAGAAAAGTTGGAGGCACGTAGCAGAACAATAATTTTCAGTATTTTTTTGTAATATCCTGAATAATAAATATTTACAAATTTGCAGATTTTTGAAATGGCACCAGATCACACCTTGTCCCACAAACTCACGAGAGAACTCACAGACGAGCATGTTACAGGAATATCTCATCTTTCTATAAGACCAGACAAAAAAATTGTCGCTGCTGGTACCTGGGACGGACGTATAATGTTATTTTCCTGGAAGAAACTGCGACCGCTCGCGATATTAAACGAACACAAAGACACCGTTTACGATATCATTTTTTCGCGGCGTAAGGTCGAGTCTTACGACACCGAGTGCTTAATGGCGGCGACTGGTAAGGACGGTGTGATCTCCATGTGGGATATATACAACTGAGAAGAACATGCGTGCCAGATAAAAATATGTGTAACATATAATAATTACGGAGATGATTTGCAAAAAAATAAATTAAAAATCATAAATTTTCTTTGTAGAATGTGATAAATATTTTTCAAGAAGACGCGAATCGAAAGAGATTGTTGTAAATTTCTTATTAAATATTCTAAGTATCAAACTGTTTTATTTACGATACATTTGTACACATATTTTCAACACCAACTATTGCCATCGGACAATATGGTATGTTTTTTTACCTACTCTTAGCAAGGACACGTTGTTGCTTAATATATGTATGCCAGGTACGATTACTTCATGCTTGTTCATGATCCGTTGATGATTTATGTAAAACCCGCCCGCCGTTATAATTCGTTGCGCGTCGTCTTCCGTCTTAAAGCACTTAACTTTCATCGCCAGATCGTACACGGTGATTCCCGGCTCGGTCATAACGTCGACTATGGTCGCACCTTCGAACACATCTGCTATTTCCGATGCGTTCAGCCTGACGAAGGACTCGATTGACTTGTCGTATAACGCTGCTGACGCGCGTTTCGCGGCTATCAATCCTTCCTCTGCAACAAGTTACAGCAGACACGCACAATAAAGTTAATATCAAGTTCTTTGGTAATGTAAAAATCTTTATTATATGAATCTCGTATACCTCCGTGTACCAAAAGAGTAACTTCCTCCGCTAATTTTTTTTGCGCTATCCTATCTTCCGGACTTTTCATGTGATACTCGACGATTTCAGTGATTTTGTTAAGCGACAAAAATGTGAACAGTCTTAAAAACCTTTCCACATCGGAATCCTTGGCTCTGATGAAATATTGATACAGTTGGAAGCTCGATGATTTTTCCGGAGACAACCAAACTGCGTTCTGAAGAGACTTCCCGAACTTCTTCCCACCTTCGGCTGTAATGAGAGGTAACGTTATGCCGTAGACCTCCTTTCCCGTGCTCCTAGTGATTAGATCATATCCCGACACGATATTGCCCATTTGATCGCTTCCGCCGATTTGGAAGCGGCAATTGTACTTTTTCATCAGTTGGTGCCAGTCGTACGACTGGAACAGCGAATAAGTGAATTCGGTGAAACTCATTCCCGTCTCGGAATTCAATCGCGACTGAACGGACGTTCTGCCCAACATTGTGCCTATCCTGAAATATTTGCCGACATCTCTGATAAAGTCAATAACATTTATGTCCTTATACCAGTCTATATTGTTTACTACAATAAGGGGCTTCAAATCTTGATGCTTTTTCAAGAAATGAGCTCTGTGATTGTCAAAGATGGTCTCTATATTCTTTGTGATGGACTTGATGTTCTCCTGAATTAAAAATTTGTCCATTTCAACGCGCTCGGAACTTCTGTGACTGGGATCACCTATCAAGCCTGTAGCTCCTCCTACAAGAGCTATAACTTGATGTCCCGCTCTTTGCCAGTGTAAGAGATTCATCAAGATGAGCAAATTGCCAACATGCAGGCTATCCGCTGTTGGATCAAAACCAGCGTACACACATTGCGGCGATTTGTTTAATAAATTTGCTATTTTGTCTCTGGAATACGAATAAATATAAATGTCTTTTACACACGGTATAGTATTACTTTTTTATAACAGAATTAAAATAGTTCTATTTAATTAATAAGAAAACAAGAATTTATGCACTTACTTACTAATATCGGGAAATACACTTTCGTACATGCCCCTTTCATACAGTTTCAGTATATTTCTGCTGCAGTAAAATCTGTGTTTGTTAAAATTATCGTGTTTGAAACTGGAGCATAACCTCATCAACGAGCGAATGTTCATTTTGCTTTGCAATTGTGCACTTTGAAATTAATATTGATCACTATCTTCGAATTCGGCAAGTCGAATCTCTTTGTATTTCCTGCGCGGAAGTAGGTGCAAACTTATATTGTCATTGATATTTGGTAAACAATTGCGGCATCCATCCCTTGCGGTCCAGCTCTCTTAACCTTCCTCGCTTCGTTTAAACGCTAAAGCCCTCTTACCTTGTCATGCATAGTGTACACACACACAAATAAACCAAATAAGACACATATATATCTACAATATCTAAATTCCAAGTAAATTTAATCCTGGATGCTAATTTATCCAAAATAAATTAAACAAAAAGATACAGAACATATAAATTTAATTTCTGTAGCATGTGTAAATTTATTACAGATCAATATATATGTACAAAGACAAATGTAATATATTAATATATAAGTGTATTAAATCAAAGTGAATACTTTTGTGCAAATTAAGTACAATAACAATTGTAAACTCATTTTGTTAGAATTGCTTGGAAGGTGGCGTGGCAAAATATTTCTTGTTTCTTCTCGCAAAGGAACTGCAAGTAAACAAATAAAACACAGATAAGTACGACGTAAAAAAAACGAAAAAAAAAAATATTGTTAAATTTATTTTCATTTTACCTGCCACTAAGCGGAGTGGTAAAGAAACCTCGAGAAATACTGCGCTTGAGAAGCGATTCTTGTGATGGCGTGTGTTTCAATTCTCCGGTTCTCGGAGTACAAGTATTCGTGTTCGTGGGATTCACGTAATTAACCCAGTAATCGGATGGGATTTGTAGCAGAGCTTCTACTATCTGAAATACATTGTAAGCAAATTTTCTTGTCATTTTTAAAAGAAAAGAGAAAAATATCGCATTATCGAAATATATCTTCTCTTACCGCGACTTGGTTTCTAGTTTCATTGAGCATGGTGATGGACGGCTCCTGCGAGCTGTACGCAACTAGAGTCGGACCAAAGATCTTCGCAAGATTGCTGATGGGCATTTTACATTCAGGACTGCTCGACACTCTCTGCAGATGCAACATCAAATAGGCCAAGGTATCTCGGTTTGGTTGTGGCATTTCCGAAATGGCCTGATAAATAATAGCGTCGGCGTCCTGTTTGTCCGTCATTGTTGTCGCGCGCGACAAATCGACCGCCACAGCCATACTAATCAACGGTTCACGCAACGATCTGTAAACAATCAGATAAAAATACATGAGATATTTTTTATATTTTTTTATTGGCCAATTTCACATTATCATATCATTTTGCATTAATCAATCAAATACAAAATAGGACAATGATATATACCTGAGGAAGTCTTTCAAGGTAGAACAGATGGTTGGAATATCGATGTTGGAAAGATTCGGAGCTCCTTTGCCTTTCAGAAATTTCTCTTTGAGTATCTTGGCTTCCGAGGCTGTTCCGTTCACTCTGTACAAACCTTGTTCGTTCATTCCACGCAATTCGACTTCGCTGATGCAGTGAACCACTATGGAAGGTACCATAGGTGGAATTCCGGGTGTGTAATCGGCTATGGTGCCCTGCAAACGATATATTTCATAAAACTATGTCTGTAAATATGATACTAATGAAAAAAAAAAAAAAAAAAATGATATTTACAGGTGCTCCACGTAATGTAGGTGTATTTCCCGCTGGAACACACGGCAATGGCAGCAAATCTTTACATTCAGTGTGAGCTGTAGATCTGCATTCTCTGCATTTTTGCGCAACTTGTGCAAATCCAAATCTATTAACAAAAACCACAAGATTCTCTTTTTCTACACACACAACACAATCTTATAAGTCTATAAATATTGATCAACAACAAAATAAAAGTTACCTTTTACCGCATGGTATACATGTTTCCCGCTTGATAAAAGTCTTTGTCACGAAATTGTGATTCCTGGACATTTTTTTATTTAAAGTATAGCCGCCGATGTTTGGACTCGGTTTGTAAACTTCTTCCGTATCCGAGGACGATGAGAGCATGTCAGCCTTTGGTGCTGATGGCTGGAAACAAAAGTTTCTCTCTTACTTGGTATCACATATCGCACATATGAAAGCATCGCCGCGTTTCAATAACATACCGCTGTGTCTACCGGCGGTTCGTCTTTATCTACGTGCGACAATTTCGATTTGTTATGTTCCCCGCTGCTCTTACGCCGTTTGCGCGAATGACGTTGAGGAGTCTGAGCATTCGCGTTGTCATTGCCAGGTACAGTTTCAATCGTGGACGACGCGGTAATCGTACCGTCTTTCGGCACGACTACCGTGGTAGTCGCCACTATTTTATCGGAAGTGTTCAGTTCGGCAACTTTGTGCAACGCGCTACGACGCTGCTTCGGAATAGAGAATTCCGCACTGGGTCGGTGTTGCTTCCACTCCCGCGTTTTCTGATTCTCCAGCACCATATCATTTTCCCAGTCGTCCTCCGACTTCGATATGCACTCGCTCAACAATGAACCAGTTCTGTCCAATTCCGTTATCGTATTGAGTCTAAAATGAACAACGTGTGAGCATTTGCCAATGATCATGATCGTATCTCCGCTCGTCAAAACGCTTACTTATCGATGTGTAGATCGGGAATGTGTATGTTACTCTGACGATTGAGAGTGTGCATGTTACTTTGACGATTCAAAGTAGTATTATTCAAAAACTGTAGTTTTTCCCTGGTTTCGTCATTTATATTTTTTCCACCGTCATTGAACAAGACTCTCCTTGCTGTGTCAATTTGATTTTCCTACAAAACAAAGCAAGTTAGAACTTGTGATATCTTGAGGAATACATAAGTTCCAAGAGTTTTCAACTACCAATAGATCTCTCTGTTCTTCAACAGCTCGTCGCTTGTGATGCTCCTCCTCTAACTTTCTTCTGGCGTGATACATCTTGCTTTCCAGCATTGCATACTCCTGTTGAGACTTGTTCAGTGCAGCATGAAGACGCTGGCATTCTTCTTCCGATGCCAGCCATTTCTGTCTCATCTCTTCTTGATTCATAACAAACTTCAGGAATGCTGAATAACATTAAAGAAAGACAACATTTTATAGTAAAATGTAGAAAATCTACAAGGTTAAATTCTTCAAAGTGTTTCTCTTCAAAGATAAGTAGGACTTCAAAGTACAACACTGGCATAAACAAGTAGAAAAACACAAATTACACAAAAAAATTTTATTACCAAAACAAATCCGAAATAAGCAACAATACTAAATATTGAAGTTGATATGATAATAATTTAAACAAAAGAAACGAACCTTCTTCGCAGGAATTATTTATCAACGAATTTGTCCGTCTAATCAGATCATCGTAGCTCGCCAAGAGCGAAAGCGAAGCCATTCTGATAGCTTATTGTTACCGTTTTTCCTCAGATTCTTATTATATAGTATTTTCTCTCTTTTGTTCCGTTTAACTATTTTTCACTTAAACAGTAATCCGACCGGATATCCAGCAGATATCAACGGACAGAAGTAGACAACCGAACTTGATACGCGCGAGTTCGCTCGTGTCCAACATCGGAGCCGTCAAAGTTTGAAATCTGCCTTTTTTCCGCGACCGTTAGATCATCGACACGAGAGACCTCTGGCGGAACGTAAAGGCCATTCTACATTAGACGCAGAAGCAGGTCGGAAGGAATTTGCTATTCACGTTCGTCAAGTCAGCCAATCGACTTACGTGATTGGTCAATTCTGCGAGATCAGCGGCCTGCGACCTGCGTCTGCGTCTTATGTAGATAGAGCTTTATGTAGAATGACCTTAACGCCTGTTTTCACCATCTCCGATTACCTTACTCGGCGATTAAGTATCAGTCGTGATTGGTCGATTCTGCTAAACAATTAATGCGACTAGCAATTCTAGAAATAATCGGAGATGGTGAAAACGGGCGTAAGTCTGGACACCTTTGCTGTGCGAATAACTGTGGGCTGCTGGTCGCTATTTTTCTGATGTAATCGAGATTCCAACGACTCTCTCATTTAAGGCACAGAAAAGTGAAATACGAAACAGCAAGATGAAAAAAAAAATAGAACACGTTGCTGTGCCATTTACTCGAAATCAGAATATTCGCGTGCGAATTGAAAAAAAAAAAAAAAAAAAACTGCTGGCGGCTGTCTCAGACGCTCTTGGTCGAAAATATAAGTACAAAATAAAGTTTATTATAAATTTCTTCTACAAGATTGTAATATATATTATAAATTCTAATTAACTGTGACTATGTATTATACATGTAACAAGTAATCACGGCGATATAAAGTATGTTACTTAGATATTGCTTCAGTTGAACACAAACTGTCTTTTTGAATACGCAACGTTTTAAGTCTCGAGCGAACAGAATCGAGTTCCGCTTGTGTGTTCGCTATCGATGCGGCGAGATAAACGGATTCTTGAAAGCGTTTCTGGCTGTTTTTCAAGTTCTGTGGCACCAACACGCCAAACCACTTTAGAGGATCGCTCGGTTCATCTTCTTCATCTTCAGCGTTCGATTTCTTCAGACTCACATCGAAACTGATGGCAGCAGCAGCAGCAGCATCGCCGTCGTCATCGTCATCAGTCATTTCAGTTCTCAGATCAAACAAAGACTTTACCGTGTCCTCGTCATTTGGAACTTGCAAAATACCGATGCTTTCCTTACCGCGAATGTACCTTGCCTTTGCCAGCTCGATGAAGCCAGACTTTAACAAATTTTCTATTTCGATACTTTTACGAAGCTTCTCCTGCATTAATTCCAAGTTACGTACAAGTAACTCATCAATCTCTTCTAACATGGCACAGGCAGTATTTTCTTCACTCATTATTGTTTAGATAAATGCGTTTTATACTTGACACACGCAAGAAATAGCTTGCACAAATTTTTCAGGTTACGAATGTGGATTCAAAGCTAATGACTGGTGACACGTGAACAATGAGCTGAAAGCGGAATATAAAGACAGTTAAAACGTACAAATAATTTTTTCGTTAAAGAATTGTTTAAGATCCTTACCTTGCAAATTTCGATGAAATAACGTTTATTCAATACGAATTTTGTATGAAACGAAATAAGTAGCGTTGCTCTATCTTTCGAAGCAAAGATTTGATTTGGTGTATATATGGCTCAAAGAGCCGAACTAAACTAGTCCATACGCCATTCGAAGACTTTTTGCAATGGTTTGATTTAGCATTTTCGAGACGAATGATACAACATCGAAGGTGACTTATAACGGTTAGAAAAACAATGTATCATGTGTGCTTAGATGTCACGTGCGTACACGTCTCATTTAAATCGCCGAATTTCAAGCTTCTAAAATCCGTATCGCAACTCGGATTGAGATCGATATGCAATTTGGCCAATCAGAGCCTATCTCAAGTTCAGTAAATCTTGTCATGATTGGTCAAATACGATATTCACAGAAACGAAACGTAATTTCCCCGCATCGCAAAATAGAAACGAGGTTCAATTGCTTATTGTGTGTTTTGTGTACTACAACGTGCGACTCAAAATTCGCTTAATGTGTCGTTGCATAGACACGTTATGAGAGTGAAGAAAACTTGTGACTATGGACACTCCGATATTAACGAAAAAGCAGCAGAGGCACAGCTTATCGGCCAAAAAGAAGTCTGCCAAGAGTTTACGAAATGTCTTGGCACAGCCTCGTGAAAATTATTGGTAATCAGTCTCATTCACTTTGTGCTTCACTTATTCAAATTCAAGTTTGTTTTTAATAAATTGCTGTTATTATAATATTTTTATGGGTATTACAAAAATATTTCTTGACAAGTAACTTGGCTGAGTAATTCTAAGTTTATGTATTCATTGCACAAACGTTTCAGGCCTGTTGTAAATGTGAACCAGTCTCCAAAGTTAGTGACTCTTATGAACAAGTAAGTCTGTGTAATGTGTAAATAAAAATAAATGCTGATAAAAAACTTTATCAGCAAACTTAAAGTATTTTATTGAACGATATTGTTTATAGATTGTTGTAGTGAAAAATATCATTTATAGATTGTTTCAATGAGAAAAATGTTGTTTGTAGATTGTTTCCCAAACTGAAGAAGCCAGTGGTTAAACTTTCTGCATCAGAGTGTAAACACATGTCCAAAGAAGAACGTGCAGCAGCCAGAATAGCCAAAAAAGAAGCGTTACTAAAGGAAGGTAGTAGTGGTGAAGATTTTTCAGACTCTGTAATTGTAGGTATCAATAGGCTTACTCGCGCTCTAGAGAAAAATAATATATGCTGCGTCCTGTTGGATGCTAACGTGGATCCACCTCTCTTGATAAAACACATTGTTGACATGGCACTGAACAAAAGCGTACCCGTTCTTCTTTTACCCTTTTTGAAAACCGTTACATTACAAACAATTGGATTTGCTTCGGCAGCTTTCGCTTTAAAGGTACTGTATCTGATGATTCTCATTTCAGAGATTTGATTCTTTGCAGAATGTAAGCGTAAGTTATATTTTGTTATTTTTAGCGTTCCGTATTGCATTCTCAGGAGAATGTATTTTGTTCGTTATACGAATTGATAGTTGAAGTTTCGTCGAACTTCAAACCTCCAATACGTTCGCTCCGACTTTTTGAGCCTACTGAGACATCCGAGGAGAGTGCAAATTGTCATCCAGCGCCGATAAAATTGGAAGTAAAATCGGAACCGATTTTATTCACGGATGTGTATAAATACAGATCTTCTAGGAAGGAGAGAGCTTTTGTACCACCAACGACAAGCGAAAGTTCTCAAATCTCTCGAACACCGTCGAACGAATTTATCGCGCTAGGCGATGATCCTGCCGAGAATAAGAAAGAGTCTGTACATATTTTCAAGAACAAAAGATATGTAAATGTTCACAAAGAAAAACAGAAGAGCACCGTGAAAAAATATGAAATTATAGAGCAAAGTGACGAGAAGTTTTCCAATGAATCAGAATTACCTGGTAACAGTAAAGATTCCGTAAAAGATAGAAAAAATTATAAACGAAAACGGAAACATCACGTTGAGTATTTACCGTTAAAAATTAAATGTATACAAAAGAATAGTAACCGAACGAAAACAACTAAATTTGTTAAGAAGAAAAAGTGATGTTAATATGTAAGTTTTTACGTACATATAACCTAGAAACTTTGACTTTGTAAATAAGGACGACTTTCCACTTTTCCCAATAAGACCCTGTCGATCAAAGATCGAGACTTGAATGTATAGCAAGCCACACACATACCTTATATTCAAATTATATAATCTAGTTTTATTACATCAAATAAAACCAATTGATCTCTTGTTATGTTATGCATCATCAATGAAATAGAAAACAGTAACACTTGCAATTTAGACTATCTAATATACATAGAAACAAGTATCAGTTATATTTCTACAATTATATGTACACATCAGAGTAATGCATAATATATATATATATTAATTTTACACATATCAGTCTTTTTTGGGTCAATAAAATATTTTGAGAGCAATAATTTTATCATACAATATTATCACTTAATAAACTAGATTTTACAGATGATCTACATATTAGACTAAACAACTTAGAGCCGAGGAAGTAGCTGCTACTTAAAAAAACAGAAAATATAACTGTATATTGCAATATAAGGCATAGAAGAGTCAATGCAGTTGACTCCAAGTGAATTGAATAAAGTGTGCCCGTCAATGCAGCCAAGTAGGCTAAAGTAAAACACCTCCTCTCAGCTGTGAACAGTGACTTCAGACAATTTAGAAAAGAACCAGAACCCCACAGGAGACAGAAGCTGCAAAATGAGTCTGTTATAAGTCTGTTATCTGTCTGAAAATTTTATTAAGAATATATTTCAACACACATACGCCAACAGAAAGAAGAGACTTCCTACAGAATGGAGCAAAGCGACCTTTCTTAGTCTAAATCCTTTGAAAAAGTATATCATTTTCAGAGTGAAACACAATGCTCCTAGAAGAATACACACGGTAATGTATTTGTATCTTGTTACCAGCGTCTGTCAGAATAGAAAGAATCAGCTCGTTTTCCGTGAATAACTCGTAACGTTAATACCGATATGTAGAATAGAATCGCAGGGGAGTGTGATTACCAAGTTAGGACAGCAATTTCCTTGCATCCTCTGGAACCATCCCGCTTCCTCTTTTACTTCGTCGAGATGTTGTCTGAACCATTTCCTCCCAAATAGATTCGGTTTTGGTATTGGCACCAGAGGAACGTCGACTTTGAATTGCTTTTCATTTTTGGTGAGATACTCGTTCAGTTCCTTATTGAGATCTGTCATTTGGATCAGAGCTTTTCAAGGTTTGGTTTGGTGCAGTTGTAGCCAGATCGTGCAGGCAGCATCGAGAGCGTCAAAGCGGCGGGATTCCCACCACTTCGGCTGTGTTCCAAGATTCACTGCCAGCGTTAAAGATCTATAGTTTACGTCACATATATTATACAATTTTAGCACTGGCAGCAATTCTGGAACACAGCTTTCGATGCTCTCGCACCAAGCGAGAGCCGCGTCCATGTGCGTGACGCTCAATTGTCGGCTTGTGGAAAAGTGGTTGCGTTCAGACAACTCAACGGTTGAGAGATCATCACTTGTGATAGGACTATTCTTCAAAACTGCTGCGGTTTCAAAAGTACGATCCAATCAGAAGTGATTATCTCTCAACCGTTGTGCAACTGTTGAGTTGTCTGAACGCACCCAATGTTTTTCGACGCGCTCGTATGCGTGAAACGGAACGCAGCCGATGCTGCCTGCACGATCTGGCATCTCTGCTCTCGGTGCTAGCCGGCCAGAGTTTGCAATTTGCAACACTGCATATGACGGATAGGCTATGTCTAGTATATATTTTCTAAGGATGCTGATGATAAAGTTGGATTGCATCAGCCATATCGGTTGGATGTGCGTAGTGAATATTTTTGAACAATTGTCGGTGTTTTACACCACTTTCTTTATTATTATCTTTAATTTAAACAAATGTACAACTCTGTGGCTTGGCGTCAGGAACCCAATCCACGGTTTTAAACCTGTTATCAAAAAGACATAGAATGGCGTATGGACTAGCTTTATAGGTCTACTGAACCAAAAGAGCACCAAACCAAATCTGTTCTAAGGATGAAAGAAAAGGTCGCTAAATTGGATTTTCAAACTTACATTTATTTAAACAAATCAACATTGATCTCTCTTATATTTATACGGATTGTATACTGTGTTTTATTTGTTGCACAGAGGAGAGGATGTACCTTTTTATTATTTCTATTTCGCGAGATCTACGTATCGGAGCGCGTCGTTTTGACAAAAATCATCATTCATTACCAGAGTATCGTGGAGGGAGGAGGTGAAATGGAAGGGGAAGGAAAAGAAAAGATAATTTCGATTGAGTATCGACCAGTGTCGCATGATAAACGCACATAACAGATGCCAGATCATGCCAGACAAGCATCGACGCCGTCAATCGCAGGATCCGGCAAAGAGAGTGGCGGAGCAACAAATTGGTGAGACAAGTGTTTTTTTGCGTGTTTAGTTTCGCGAGTTACTCGTGATCGAGTGTAATTTTTGTTAGTAAATTGCGTCCCGCTCTCTATATGTTAAAACAATCAACCGCGCGTTGTGAATTTTTCCGTGCGTTTTGCTATCTTATTGTACTCGTGCCACTTGCGATAAATCAGTTCCGCCCTTGAAATTAAATACCAAACTATTTCTATCTCGCGTTAAACCGACGTTTCGACCAGAGTCACAAGATCGAGCAGAAAACATCGAAGCGGTGGGAACACGCGAACCGACGGTCCTTGTGTACGTGTCTCCTCGTTGCTCCTCTCTGCTCGATCTTGCAATTCTGGTCGAAACGTCGGTTTAACGCGAGATTTGGTAGTCAATTTTAAGTGCGGAACTGATTTATCGCAAGTGACACAAGTACAATAAAACCGTAATTTGTGACCGTAATTTTTATTTAGTGTCCGGGGTGAATTTAGACAATTCTTTTTAAACGGCACAAAACGCCACGTATTGCGAGATCTCGAATCTTTTTAACGCTAACTTTTCCAAAATTGGGCGCCAGATACGCCGGGGGGCGTATCACCGAATTTCACAAATAATGTTGCCGGTTAATCGCAAGACACGATGGACGCGAGAAGCGCATCGGCTAGTCCAGAAAACTTTCTAACGGAGAGGCGGGATTCGAGTACAAATTTTCTTTGTAAGAACGCTGTTTCTGGCTGAGGTCCGTTTCATGCTTAAGCGTATATTTATCTATAGTATACGTGACATATACTACAGATAAATGCGCGATCAAGCACGAAACGGACCGCAGCTCTTGTATCGAGGAGTAGGGAGTATCCCGCTTCGATACTCTCTCGATTATTCTTGGAGATCAATTGTGTATGCGTGCGATGTGTAGTGAAAATTTCAAAAACAATTTTACTAGTTGTTGAATAAGATTATATTTTAATAAATTCGCTCACTTTTGTAATTTTCACTATATTGCATGATATACAATTGATCTCCTGCTGCTCGACACTGCAATACTAATGACACGTTTCGTTTCATGTATATGATTTATAGTATACGTGACGTCATATGCATGAAACGCACTTTGTAGGTACCTTTTCATATATGCAGCATGCTGAGGCAGCAAAGCATCACGTAACTCAAATTGTCTAGAACTGCTCCCACTACTATACTCAATTCGATTTGCCATTCTCTGCGTTATTATTATTGCACATGAAATTCCATCAACTTAACGCAGAGAATGGCATCGAATTGAGTATAGCATATATGTAATACTTCATTACATATATGGAGTATAGTAGAGTATAGTAGTGGAAGCAGTTTTAGACAATTTGAGTCACGTGATGCTTTGCTGTCGCACCATGCTGCGTATATGAAAAGATACTCGCAAGTAGTGATGGGAATTCAAATCCGTCCACGCTATCGTTTTTCTTCCCCTACTTAGGCACACACAGCGTTGCCTTCTTCTTCTTTGCTTATGGCTCCGTGCCCCTGAACTGTTTAGGCACCGGCCAGTCTTTGGACACACAGCGTTGCCGTGGAAGGTGCCACAGAGTAATGTCACGCGATAGAGAGATAGAGAGGTACTATCATGAGTATAAGCTCTCTCTCTCTATGGGTAGTACTCGTCGTACTTCTTCCACCAATAGTAAATTACTCTCTCTACCGCGTGCCGTCACGCTGTAGCACCTTCCACGGCAACGCTGGGCACACAGCAGGATGCCAGTTTTGAGACGTTTGCAGCATGCTATAACGGTGGAAGGGATGTGCACAAAGCAGCGAGTAAATGCTTGCTGATGTGCGCATCCCCTCCACTTGCTGCTGCATGCTGCATGCTGCAAGCGTCTTAGAATTGGCATCTCTGGCACACAGTGACGCTAGATAGCAGTGACATTTGGACACCGCAGAGATGCCAGATCGCGCCGGAGAACCGCACAGGGACGCTGTTTTCGCTTGTATGCGTACGAGAGCATCGAAGGCGGTGGGGATACTCTCCCGCTTCGATACTCTCGATGCTGTCCGGCGCGATCTGGCATCTCTAGGACACCGTCTTGCGCAGTTTCGCTTGTGTAGCTGAAAAGCTCCCTATTCACTATGTTACGTAAGTAGATGGAGAAAATTGGTAGCGGACGCGGACTCGAATTTCCATCACAATTACAAGTATTGTGACTATTGTGAGAATAGAAGAGAGCCGGGGACTAGAGTCTCATTTTGTATCACAATGTAAATATTGAGTAGCACTAATTAGAATATTACTTAATGATAATAGTCGCGTAATAAATATACTAATGATAATAATTATCGCTCGTGTGAGTAGAGAAGAGGAATAATATCCACGTGTAAGCAAAAACGTAACGTGGCTGAGTCTCGTGCCATCTATTGTACACGTGACATAAAGCACAGGTAACTCTCGTATAACGCGGATATTCCGTTCCACAGAAATGCCGCGTTATATAAATCGCTTTTATACGAGGCTCGCGTAAGCGATATTTAAAAAAAAAAACGAGATTAGACTTCATATTAGTACAATTTGTAAATCGCGTTTTTCTAGGTTGTTCAACTCGTGTTGTACGAGAGTTACCTGTATGAATTTGTTCAATTTATCACATGTACTAGAGAATGCAGCCAATATATAGTTTTGGAAACTCAGACAACAAATCAATCACATTTTTTTTTTTTATTAATAGAACTACGAAACCGTAGACACAGGCTCGGTTTTTTATATTCGCATTTTTTACGTGTGCTATTTTGTCTGTTCCACGTCTGTCTGTTGTGTCTGTCTCTCTTCTCTTTTTCGCACTGCTCACGCAGCGGCTGCTTGATCTCTTTCGTTCACGCGATACCATGGAATAAGATTGCTAATTAGGTTTTTTTATTCTCAACAGGTGGATTTCTCTAAACTCATACTTCTTTGTGTCGCAAAAATGTATTCATTCCAAGAGGAGAGATAAAATTGCTCGTCAAATGCAAAGATTGATCGTCACTGTGTGACAAGAGATTGCAACAATTGATCATAAAACTTATACGAAAGCTGATGGAAAATGACAAAAAACGAAGTGCAAAGGCTTCCGAAAAAATCGCCATATGTGAATTTCGACAAGGTAACAAAAAAAAACGTTTTTATCTTTTTTTAAATCATCAACAGACGTCTTTCGTTTTCCACTGCCTCAAATCTTCAACAGAATTGCGAAAACAATTTGCTCAAGAAAGAATATGGTCTATCGCATACAAAATAACAGCTGGCATAAAATCATCTCAACGATTGCCTGGCGTGCTGTAGCAGAGAGGAATTTTTTCAGAAGGAGCGAAGCAATTTTTCCGTCCTAAAAATTATGAATTTTACAGAGAGGTTTCACTATACAGAGAGTTTTCACGAATAGATATATGATTTAATTTGTTAACCAGGGATTTCAAACTTGTTTCATGATAAAAAACACAATTTGTGAAAAAACTTGCCTTTCCAGGCAAGCCCGCACAATAAGGTCTCGTGGAACTAACTAATCGCATAGTCAAATCAGCCAATTGATCAACGTGATTGATCATCAGTTCCTTTGAAATCCACTTTTGTGGATATGGCGCTAAAACCAGCGGCTAACACTGTCTGTAAGAAACTATAAAGCCCCTTGCACAATGGAAGGAATAGCGATAGCGATAGAAATAACACAGTTTTAGACACAGAATTCCAACTCGTCGGAAATTTTATAGCTATTGCTTATTCTGATTTTCTAATCTGCATTGATACATGTGTATTTTTGTACGTTAGATTCCGCTGTTCCTACCGTTATTTATAAATATAAACTCTTTACAACTGGTATTATTTCTATCGCTATCGCTATTCCGTCCATTGTGCAAGGGGCTTAACAGAATAGCCGCTCTCAGGTTTCTCTTTAGCTGTATGCATGGGCGTTCACAGGGAGGAGCATAAAACTCGGCATTTGCCCCTCC